TCATCATCATCAACAGCAGCAGCAGCAGCAGCAGCAGCAACAAGATGGAAGCAGTAGAAGAGGCAGAAACGTGGTATTTTAGTGTCTCTTCCACCAGTTAGGGGCAAATGATTCAACTTTTGTAGGTCAAAGGGTCAACAGGATAGGGACACCAAACTTGTTTTCTGAGGCAGATTGAACTAGTTTTCTCGCAGTATCTTTCAGGCCTATGATATTTATTGTTTTCACTGATTTTTATTATTTATGTGTGTGTATTCATTGATATCTGTAATGTGCAAGGGTCTATACGAGGAGCTACATAGGATGAAAAAAAAAAGGGTGTTTCTTTGGATTTTTAGATCACTTGAGACTAATGATGTTAGTGAACCATGGGCCCTAGTAGAAAAGAGAGTCATGGTCAACACAACAGGCAGAAGTGCCAGAGGAGAAATGCAGTGCCACCAGGTCAGAAGACAGGGAGCGCCATCGGTTGGGATGTTAGGGAAGACTTCAAGATGCAGCTGCCATTTAAATTAAACTTGAAGAGTTGGAGGAAGGACATGCTCAGCAAAGAGAGCATCTTAAAAGGCAAGGAGGTGGGAGACCATGATGTGTTTGGATGAAATCGTGATCTTCTGGTTTGAATGAAGTGCTGAATACTAGAAGATAACTTAGATTGAGAAGCCAGGTTAGGAAGATTATTTTGCTTATGAAAGAAAAGTTTTCAAAGCTTTATGGCACAAGTGTGAAGACCTAGAGCTTTCTTTTAGAAAGATTAAGCAATGCTCTATGTCAGTTTCAAGTCTAGGACACTGAGAGAATGCTGGTGCCATTGACAGGAAATAGGAGACCAGGAGGAAGTGGTTTACCCTCCTCCATTTGTATTTAATGGATTTAATTTGAAGAACTATGGAAATGCAGAGCTGGACTTTGGGAGGAGCAGGAGAGGTTATATCAATTAGTCCACTACAAACATAAGTGAAGTTGTGATATGGCAAGACCAGCAAAGAGATGAGTCTGTAAGAGAAGAGGGTCAAGGACAGACCTCAGGCGTGTCACCATCCAGCTATCAGGAAGTAGAGAGAAGGCAGTGGGAAGCAGAGGAGAGAGGGATAAGCAGAATAGTGGAAAAAGCCAAAGAATTCAGTGTTTGGGGGTAAAAGGAGGAGAGAATTTCAGAAAGCTAAATGATTTATTAAATTGTAAACTCCCTGAGAGCAGGCCAGATTACCTAGTTAGTTCAATATTTCTCCAGAATAGGTGTAGTAGAGTTGCACACTTTCTTGGTGTTCAGTAAGTGTTAAATGGAGGTCTGCAATATGCAATGCTATTCAAAGTTTGAGGAGGGTGAAGACTGTCAAGAGACCATTTGTTTTCATGATTAGGACATCCTGGTTACCGTTGTGGTGGATTTCCATTCTTTCTGTTTTAAGGAAAATAAAGGACAAAGATTGTGTCTGAATCGAAGATTAAGGAACATACAACATTGTCTCTGTGCACGTGTTCTGTTGGACCACGAATGAAAAAATGTCTGGTTTCTTCTTCTTGTGGCAGCACTCTGCTTGTTTGCGTGAATGTATGGTTGAGAATGTGTGTGACAGGAGGTGGAGGCCACCAAGATGTCCATCGGGGGAGAAGAGATGAGCCCCTGCCGTGGAAGTATACACAAGGAGGGTAACATCTGTCGGCACCCTTGTACTAGATGGGCAGAAGGTACTACAGCTGTACCTTGTAGCTGTAACAAGTGGAAAGAGGGAGAAAAACCCATGTGAATACAACACATATGCTGTTTAACAGAACACACAGGTACATACATGGCCAAAGCCATTCATTACAGTGGGTGTCTACTGGGGCAAGTGAGAGCATAAACATGAGAATCCGGGTGAGTGGGGAAAGTTGAGTAAAACGAAAAGAAGGACCTTGAAAAGATCAATGATGTGGTATGTGATTGATTCATACTTTATTGTAGACATCGAAAGCAAAAATGGCATATGTGATGGATGCTCCCCCCCCCACCATCATGATAAATGTACTCTTTAATCCCCAGACCCTATTTCACCCATCCCCCCCAACCGTTCTCTGCTCTGGTAAGTTTGTTCTCTATAGTTTAGAGTCAGGTTCTTGGTTTATCTTTCTCCTTTGCTTGTTTCTTAAATTCTACATGAGTGCGATCATATGGTATCTTTCTCTGATTTTGCTTAGCATAATACTCTTTAGTTCTATCCATGTTGTTGCAAATGCTGAGATTTTTTTTTTATGGCTGAATAATATTCAATAATACACACACACACTATATATATATATAAAGTCTTTGCCAGTTTGGACGCCTCACATCTTCTTTATCCATTCATTTACTGATGAACACTTGGGCTGCTTCAAAGTTTGACTATTTTAACTAAAGCTGTAGTAAACTTAAGGGTGCATATATCTTTTCAAAATAGTGTTTTTGTCTTCTTTGGGTAAATACCCAGTAGTGAAATTATTGGATCATATGGTATCTCTATTTTTAATTTCTGGAGGAACTTCCATACTCTTTTCCACAGTGGTTGCACCAATTTACATCCCTACTAATAGTGCGTAAGGATTCCATTTTCTCCACATCTATGCCAACACGTGTTTATTGTGTTTTTTATTTTAGTCATTCTGACAGGTGTAAGGTGATATCTCTTTGTGGTTTTGATTTCGTTTCTCTGATGATTTGTGAGGTTTAGTATCTTTTCATGTGTCTGTTTGGCCATCTGAAGTCTTCTTTAGAGAAATGTCTGTCCATATCGTCTACCCATTTTTAGACTGGATTACTTGCTTTTTGGGTGTTGAGTTGTATCAGCTCTTTATATATTTTGGATACTAACCCATTATTGATATGTCATTTATAAGTATCTTCTCCCATTCAGTAGGCTGCCTTTTAGTTTTCTTGATTGTTTCCTTCACTGTGCAGAAACTTTTTGATGAAATCTCAAAAGTTTATCTTTTGAATCTCTAATTCAGAATTTATTTCTGTGTATGGTGAAAGAAAGTGGTCCAGTTTCATTCTTTTGCAAGTGACTTTCCATTTTTCCCACCACCATTTGTTGAAGAGACTTTTTCCCATTGTGTATTCATTTCTCCTTTGTTGAATATTTGTTGTGGGTTTATTTCTGGGCTTTCTGTTCTATTTCACTTATCCATTTGTCTATTTTTTGTGCCAGTACCATACTGTTTTAATTACTACTGCTTTGTAATATAACTTTAAATCTGGAATTGTGACCTCTAGTTTTGTTTTTCAAGATTGCTTTGGCTGTTTGAGAGCTTTTGTGGTTCCATATAAATTTTGGGATTGTATGTTATAGCCTGTGAAAAAATGTTATTGGTATTTTGATAGGGATTGCATTACACCTGTAGATTGCCTTGGGTAGTATGGGCATTTTAACCATATTTGTTCTTCTATCCCATGAACATGGAATGCCTATTTTTTTTTGCATGGTCTTGAATTTCTTTTATCAATGTTTTACAGTTCTCAGAGTACCTGTCTTTTACCTCTTTGGTTAAGTTTATTCCTAGATATTTTATTGTTTTTGGTGAAATTATAATGGGATTATTTTCTTAATTTCACTTTCTGCTGCTTAATTTTTAGTGTATAGGAATGCAACACATTTCTGTAAATTTATTTTGTATCCTGTAACTTTACTGATTTATCAGTTCTAGTAATTTTTTGGTAGAATCTTTAGAGCTTTCTACATATAGTATCATATAATCTGCAAATAATGAGAGTTATATTTCTTCCTTACTGTCTTGGATGCCTTCTATTTCTGTATGTAGAATAATTGCTGTGGCTAGGATTTCCAGTACTATGTTGAGTAAAAGTGGTGAGAGTGGACATCTTTGCCTTATTCCTGACCTTAAGGGAAAAGCTCTCAGTTTTTCACCATTGAGTATGATGTTGACTGGATTTTTCATATAAGACCTTTATGTTGTTGAGATAGGTTCCCTCTAGACCTACCTTGAAGAAGACGGTCTAATGCTTTTTTGGCACCTATTGAAATGATATGATTTTTATCCATTCTCTTATTGATGTGACATATCATGTTGATTGTTTTGCAAATATTGAACCACTCTTGCATCCTGGCAATAAATCTCACTTGATAGTGGTACAGGATTTTTTAAGAAATGTATTGTTGGATTCCATTTGCTAACACTGAGCAACATTTGCTGAGGATTTTTGCATCTATGTTCGTCAGAGATAATTGGACTATAGTTTTGTGGGGTTTTTTTTTTTTTTTTTTTTGTAGTGTGCTTCTGGTTCCATATGTGATGGAAGCATTTTTACAAATCTCTAATTGCAGGAAAAAGCAATTCTCAGTGAGGTGACTATATAAGCTTTGCCTTCATTATGATTATTTGATTATTAGCAAACCAAAAATATAGATAGATGTTATTTCTGTATCTATAGTAAAAAAAAAAACAACCCATGCATATCATAAGGTCTATTAATTTGAATCCTAACTCAGAGTGACATCAGGTTTGCCAGGAGCAATAAGAAGGGTGTGGCAACTGAGTATAGTTGGAACAGAGGACACAGGGTTCCACACACAGGTTCTTCCAACATAAAAAACACATACCTGAATGATATAATCTAATATAATACTTTATTATCTGATGTACTACATGTTATACAATTATCAAGCAGGAATCCAGTGTTGACATTTGCGTTACATTTAACAGTTACATGTATTCCTTATCATTAAAATTTGTATTCTAGCAAATTAATTTTCTACCCGTTCAAATAATGAGTGAAGTGCAACTTGAACTTATTACCAAGGACATTCTCTATACGTGATAACTGGCATAAAATATGAATAGGGAGAAAGCTGTAGTTTACTTTTACGAGGAATGGAGAAACCATCATTTCACAAGTCGTGAAATCAGAATCCTATTTGTACTTTTTTTGCCACTCCTTCCAAACTGGAAATTAGACCCAATAGGGTCAGGCACACCGCCCCCCCCCCGCCCCCTCCCCCCCCGGAAGCCCCATTGCAGGCTAAGGCTAAGTGCAGTGTGTTTTTGCCTTTACTGCTTTCAACACAGAATTCCACTTGCTATTCCTTTGTTCTAACTGCTCTTTTTTAAACCTGTCTTGAAAAGAACTATGGCTGTCTTCATCCTCTGTCTCAGAGATGATTTCCATCTTCTGAATGATGAGTTTAATAAGCTCATGCTGTTTCTCCAGAAGATAAGTGAGATCCTTCAGCCTAAAAGGATATACAGGTTTCATGAATTTGTTTTCAGTTAGCTTTCCAGGCTCCGAGTGCAGGAAGGCCCGGGTTACTAGAAGCACAGGTGAGCTGTGCTCAGGTCACAGCATTCTGGTACTCATAATCTTTCTATGCAATACATATTTTTTAAGTGTAAGTGTTCTTCCTAAGGTTGCACTGTTACTTCTCAGCTAGTTTGTTTTTTGCTCCCATTTTAAAGATTAAAACACTGTTGCACGGAAAGATGAAGTTGCTTTGCCCTAGTCAGAGCGCTAGTAAGTAGTTACATAGGGCCTTAGGCTAGGTCAACTAACTGTAAAGCCCTCATGCTTAACCACTGTACTATACAGCTTCTCCTGGAATTCTTAAAATCTTTCAAAGCTTTGATATATCAGTTCAGATGGCTCATGGGAATGCAGTTTAAGACAATAATTGGCAAAACTGATCGGTGAATTGCAGCAAGGTGTTGGGTCTAAAAATGACATTCAAATGATTCTCAATATACTATGACATCAGTCCATTAAAGTATGACTTAATAAGTGAAATAAACACAAATAGACAACAAAAAACTTCAAATAATGATGTATGGTGTAAGGTTAAGTTTCTCAAATACAGATGAAAAATACATACCGGTATTTCTGCTTTAATATTTCTGTTTCCAGAGATGGGTCAACATTTGGAATTTCCTGTCTCTCTTCTTGGGTATAAAAAATAAAATTAAATACACCCTGTGGGATAAAAGATTAATAATTACTCAGGTTGAACTCAACTCAGGAACCGTTTCTTGCACGTGCACCACGATTCAGCTACTGAGCCAGGTATGATCACATCGCAGGTATTCTCAGACACCGTGATGCCCCTCAAGGTGCTCAGTCTGTGGAGAGAAGCACACGTGTATAGAGCTATACAACAAAGTCACACATATAATAAAGGAAAGTATAAGATGTATAGATGATCTAGAAGAAGGAGAAAATTGGAGTGGGGGATTATTTAGGAAAAGGTAAAACTGAATCATTTTCTATTTTCTCATGAAAAATACCCATCATCAGCGGTGGTATTCCATGCAGGATTAGCTGTTCTTTCTCTAAAACTGCTCCACACCATTATCCACCACAATTGAGTTTCCCATGAGGAAATTTTTGAAATGCCATTTTAACATGTATTTTTAAATTTTTTTTAATTTTTAAATTTTAATATAGTATGTATTTTTAAAATTTAGTGTTTTTTCAACCCCTGGTAGACTGGACAGGGTTAAGGGTGGATGTGAAACAACCAGGAATGAATGAGGCCATCCTAGGAGTCTAGGCAAGAGAAGACCGCAGCACAGGCCACATGGGAAACCTAATCAACCGAGCATGGAGGGGGCTGGGTGTGAGGGGTGAGGAGAAGGCAAGGATGACATCTTGCACCAGTGAATGAATGGTGTTGACGTTAAATGAAATAAGAAACTAAGGAGAGGGAAGAGGCTTTGTCATTCTTTCCCTGCAGGGAGAATGAAACAGGTGTGTAAACAGGAAGTGTGTAAACTGAGTTCCTTTTGTATGAGTTTGTTTCAAATACGCTGAACTTGAGGTACCTTGGACACATACCAGTGAGGATGCCAGACAAACAGTTGGATATAGGAGCCTGGAACTCGGAGGGCTCCAGGAAGAATGGAATTGTGAGCCTTCTGTGTTTCAGGAGTAGTTGCAAACATGGATATGAATGAAATTATACAAGGAAATGGTGTAGTTAGAAGAAGGCCTAGGCCAATATCCAAATCAACTTTATCATTGTAGGACTCCAAAATGGAAAGTTAACATGCGAAGAACTCAGAATATTTGTAGAAATAGGAGAAAGCCCAGGCATGATCAGGATTAGCATCTAGTACTTCTCACTCTTAATACGGTCCCTTTGCCATTATGATGCAGTGGCACTGCTTAGTCTTTGACATCTAGTATATTTTCTATTACGTACACTCTCCATGTGCACATTTGTGCATATATGTATCTGAATGTGTGTACGTACATATGTGCTCTATATTTTCACACAGACACACATCTGCACATGCATGTAAGTGATAGGTGACTGGGGAAAACAAGAAAGGTACACCTGCACTGTACAAAAGATCCTTATAAGGTACCGGAGGTCTACCCACCCACCCATGTGCTCTCACAGGGATGTGGTACATGTTTAACATGGATGTTGTGAATTAGCCACTGGGAAGAAGGAGCACAGGGCTCACATGTCTCCCTCCCACTGACCTTCACTTTCACGCCGTGGGGAACTTTTCTTTTTTAAGTCACAAGTACTTCTTTTCCACAGGCACAGGGACTCAAAGTCCATAAAAGAGTACCCTTAAGGATAACACAACAAATGAGTGTCAAACAGCAGCACGTCCTCCATGCTGGCATTTCCCACATGTACTTACTAATAACCCTGCACATCTGGGTCTGTTGGGATACACGACGATGGATTTCTGATCCACTTTGCGTAGGAACCACAGTGGCAGCTTCTTCTCTAAGCTGGTATGAAGTTCCACCTAAGGTGCATTTTGGATTTATTGAGAGACATGATTAAGAAGCATCTGGAATCCTTACACTACACAGAAACCATCATTAGTACAGGAAACTGAAAACCGGCTCCTGTGTCTTGCTTGACGCACGTGCAGCTGGGCTGGACAGGATTCCGTCTCTCCCCCCTCCACTGACAAGACAGGGCCAGCTGTCTGCCGTTGTGGCAAAGTGTTTAAAGAAGAAACTCAAGTGAGCAGATGTTCACTGTTCAGGGACTGTGACTGACACTGGCCACGTAAGAGGAAAAGCGTTCGTCCATCCCCTGGGGCATTACGCAAAACGCGCACAAATGCGTCGTGTGGCTGGTATGAAGGCACGTCTGTGGGGGCGGCGCTTCGCTGGAGGAAGGCAGTGGTGAGCACTGAAAGGGCTACCCCGCACATCTAAGGGTACTTGTCAATGTTTCATGCCATGCCATCTGGTGTAAAATGTCCATGACCTATCTTGACCGTAATTTAAAAAAAATTTTTTTTTAATGTTTATTTTTGGGAGAGGGAGAGAGGGAGTGAGGGAGAGAGAGAATGGGGAAGGGGCAGAGACAGAGGGAGACAGAGTCTGAAACAGGCTCCTATCCGGGGGTCAGCACAGAGCCCTATCCGGGGGGTCGAACGCGAGAACGGTGAGATTATGACCTAGGCTGAAGTCAGATGCTTAATGACTGAACCACCCAGGCGCCCCCATATCTTAACTATAATTTCAGAGATACAGTCCCCGGTCTCATTTAATGGATTTACCTTGAGCTGATATTTAGTTTCTCATATTTTCAACTTTTGTTTGCCAAATTTATCGTTTTTTTATAACCCTTGTGTCTCTTATTTAGAACTGTTTATTGTAATTACCACATTGGTGAGAGTTTGCTCTCTAAGACCATAGGCTTTTTCATATGTGGCATTTAAGTGGTTTACATCCACAAATGGGGAGATGTTGAAAGCTTTTGGCCCCTCCTCCACATAATACACTCTGTGTCTTGCTTCCCTGTTTCTATAGCACGTACCACATTTAACACGATAGATATTAGTTCCAGTTCCAAGAAAAGCTATGTTTTCTTGTACTTATTAACAATACCAATTAGATGTTTTCTTTAAGTTTCTATAATTTCCAGGGTTCCTTTTTCCCGTGGGTCTTAAGGTCAATATTCCTTTCCCTTTGCAATATACACTTTTGCAGAGGTCACATGTGATCATTTACTTAAACTTGATTGAAAAAGATTTATTCAAGCCTAGTGTTTGCCAACAGATAAAGCATATGTTTTGTCTTAACCTTATTCATTTTCTACATAGGATCTGCCAGATTTCGTCTCTCCGATCTGGTCCTGGGGAGGGTGGCCAGCAGAGCCCCTTGGTGGGCTTCTCTGGGCTCGGGGAGCACCTTCACCTCCTCTAACTGGTGGGTTTCCCTCGTTGAAGGTCAGAGCACTCCATGCATTTCCTTTTGTGATTTGCAGCACGAACGTAAATGCTTGTGGAGCGTCCTCAGCTGCCAGCCTGTGCCAGAAGTGTGGTCACCAATGTTCAAAACTGAACAGCTCTAAGCCCCTCAACATCCTCACAGCTCCTGTGTCCTTGAGTAACCGCTACCCCTCCCAGCATGTGCTGTCCCAGGGACCTTTTTGTCCCTACTTAGGTCTGAGATGACTTTGTGAGAAGACTAACGTCTCTCTGTGAAATGTGCTGCTCCCTGTCCCCTTCTGCCCTGGTTCTGTGGGGCCACAGATGTAGAGTTGTAGTGATTGTAGAGATTTGCTTAAAAAGACAACTCGGGAAATAAAAGAAGGCTTCCTGGCTTTCCAGTCAGTGCTCTTTTGTGACCCAAAACAAGGAACAGAAACACGGGAACACTTGCTTTGCCTGTTTCCTTTATAGGCCTTTGTGCTGTTGTGTTTCAGGGAAGAGATCAAATCTAAGACAGAACTGTGCTTTTCAAATCAACTGCACTGACACTGTAGTTTAGTGGGGTCTCCCCCAGACATCTAGTGCTATTGCTTATATTGTTCATTTTATTTACTTTCCTTGATCTTTTCAGGAGTTATCAGTTCTGAAGTACTGCTGACATGTCTGTGAAGAGGATTTTTTCATCTCTCTTCCTCTCCTCATCCAGCTACCTGGAGTCTTGATACAGTAACAACTGGTCAGTTAGCTCTTCCTGCCTCCAAACTTTCCACACTAAGTCAAGATAATCCTAGATCGTCTTAAATACCACTCTCATTTTGTTCCCGTTCTTCGGGAGAGGTGACAACTTCCCACTAACAAAACACCTTGGAGCACTTCACCCTTTACTGCCCTATCTTTCAAAGCTAAGGTTTTCCGTTGTTTGCTATTTTTCCATAAAGCACTCTGTCATCTTGAGCCACCTTAATACGCTCTAAGGAGCCATCCCTCCAGGCCCGGGGCCCTTCCCCTTTCCTTAGCCATGTCTCCTGGCTCTGCCTTCAGCCCTCTGCTCCTGTGGGTCGGTCCTGCCTCTCTGGGCCAGTCGCCCTGCTCCTCAAAATCCCATCCTTCAACATCTGGTTCACATGCCAAGTTTTCCATGTAGCATTTCCATAACTTTATTTTCTGTATCTGACATTTTAACCGTTTATGTATTTTTGTTCTTTCATGGACCAAGTCCTCTGCATAATACACCGCTTAATCACAGAGCATAGAGTTTAAGGATGGTTCTAAGTTGATTTTGGTATTTTAAACTCTGAATATTTAGTTGGTATGCTCCCCAATTAGACTTATTTTACTTAGTGAAGTCAAAGGTCACACATCCCTTTAACTCCTCAGGGTTCTCATGTTCAGTTGTGCTTTGCTCTGCACGTACCACATACTGGATGGAGCATTTTTTAGAAATAAATATGTGCTAATGTAGAGCAGAATGAGTAATAGAGAAGAATGAAGCAGGACAGAACAGTGAAGAGTGAGGGGAAAGTGACCTCTTAATGTGAGTTTTTCTTTCTCTTGAACTCACCTAAGTTTTTTAATATGTATGTTCAACTGGTCATCAGACATTTTTGAAGCATCAGATATTCCCATTCAAATTTGGTATTTAAAGACAATGCAAAAAAGAACATAGAACTAGTTTTACAGTGTATAACAGGAGCCACCTCACGAGATTCAACAGCCAAGGAAAAATGTAAGGGAGGTCACAAAAGAACCAGACCTCACAGATGCACTTCAATATGACCTGTTCAATGGGAAGCCTGCAATTTGCTGGCCAGAGTAGCAAGCGTTCCTAGAAGAGTTAGGCTGAGACAAGACAGAACACGTCACACCTGTGAGAATTCTCATTTAGCAGATAGTTAGCTGGTTGGCCGCGGGTTGACATTCAAAAACGCTCAGGTAGTTTCTCAGTTTCTCTGTTCAGATTGTACTAAGAAAATTCTGCTCATCATTTTCCACTCTCTGAGCGCAGCAGGCATGTCAGAGGGCGTGCGCAACAAGGCACCGTGTGGTGTGGTGCTTCTTGGGACTGACAAAGTACCTGTCTTCAATACCTTTCTCAGAAATCAGCTACCCATGAGAATTCCTGTACAAGGTGGTGGTAATTTCAATAGGTTTTAAATAAACATAAGACTTACCTGCATAGCAATCCTCTTCAACAGCGCATGCTTCTGGACCTCTGCAATGTCACCAACTGCCAAACCAATCTGAAGCACAACATGGCATCGAGTCATTTCCAATTTAATGACGCACCGAACAGTGTACTAAGGTCTCTCTAGCGGCAGTGGGGGAGTGGGCATGTGACTGCCTACTAGTGGCCTCAACGTACTTTTGCCAATACATCTTGCAGGAAACTGCAAAGTCTGTATGCCTTTGTAACACTGGTGGCCACATCGGTGGCTTCAGTAATCTCAAGTGCTACTGTAAAAAATTACGACACACAAATGAATCTGAAATTAACTTTAAAACAAAAATGTTCTTTTTGGAGACGATGAGGTGATATAGTATCAAATGCAACACAGTTCCAAATTCTAGGAATTTGCATCTAGGTAAACAAGAGTGACTGCACAACATGGAAAAGTTAAAATAGTAAACTGAGGCAATGCGGGAATTTATACCTTACCTATGTTTGACAGGAAAAGGTACGATTCAAGGGTGGGTGTCGCTTTTATTAAAAAAAAAATAGTAACTCCATCTAGAAATCTGTGGTCAGACAGAATTAGGTGAGGGGCCGCTCACCTCTACTCCAAATTAAATCTGCTTACTTTTATTAGCTGACTCGTAGTTGTTAGACAATCAGTACCTCTCTATGCTCAGCCAGCCTCCTGGATGCTGGTGCTCTCAAGAAGCTCACAGTCTGTGCGTTTGAGCCATGCACTGGGCTCTGTGCGGTCAGCAGGGAACCTGCTTCGGATGCTCTGTCTGCCTCTCCACACACACACACACACACACACACACACACACACACACACACACACTAAATACACTTAAAAAAAACCCAACAGTCTCATACTGACTGCTTCACACACTTAAGATGCTTGCCTGGGATCTGAAGACATCTGATTTTGTGAGTGGGTAAGTTACTAACATTTAATAGTAGCTAACATTTATTGAGTGCTTATCATGTGCCAAGCACTGTTTTGAATGCTTTGCTTTTATTTTTACTTGAGAAAGAGAACACAACTAGGGGAAAAGGGCAAGGTGTGGGGGGAGCCAGAGAGGGAAGGAGGAGGGAGAGACAGAAACAGAGAATCTTAAGCAGTCTCCATACTCAGTGGGGAGCCTGACATGGGGTTCAATCCCATGACCCTGAGCTGAAAGTGAGACTTGTACAATTAACGACTGAGCCACCCAGATGTCCCTCAAATGCTTTGTATTAACTCCTGTTATCCTAACAACCTAGGAAGTAAGGTTTTTCTGATTTGTGTCCTCAAAACTATGAGAACATGAGCAAGGGGCATCCAATTTAGACTAGGGTGATGGGGTTGAGGGTGTTGGTTAGGAAGGTCTACCCAAGAGATCTGATGCTTGAGCTGACTGTTAATAGCTTAGAAAGAGTTAACCCAAAGTGGGAGAGCATTCCAGGAAAAGGAACAGCTGGTGTGGAGCTCAGGCACAAGGGAGCGTCTGGCATACTCCGTGAACACTGATGGCGCAGGTCTAGGTAAATCTTGGCGACAGTGGGAAGGGTGGATGAGATCTGGGTAAGACCCAGACCATGAGGATCCCTGCATGCCATGCTCATGGGGTGAGACAGAGTTGAAGAGGCATAGGAAAAAAAAAAAAAAAGACGAAAAAGCCACGGACAGGCCTAGCCTTTCCTTATCAGCACATCACTGTGGTGACAATTTGCAGGAAAGATTAGACTGAAATGAGAGGAGACAGACTGTCCGGGCAACTGCAGCAATATGGATGAGGAACCGTGAGGGTGGAAGGCAAATGGAAGTGTGTGTAAGAGATATTTACTGGCAGAACTGAGAAAAGGGCAGGGTTGAATCTAGAGCATCTTCCAGTGATCTGAGTTAGAGGACCAGGTGTTGCTGCTGAGAGGCAGCAGCAGAGTTTGAAGGAAAGAAAGCACGGAGTCTTGGCTCTGTTGGGACTGAGTTTCCTCTGGGACATGCAGGTAGAGAGGACACTAGCATGTACTACTGCGAAGCCAAGTCTTCTAGATTAATTATCTTCTGAAACATAAGCAATTCTAAGAGAAGAATGTGGGCTTTATGTCATTCTTTATTATTCTGAATGCTGTCCTTTATGTTTCTAGGTCATCCAAATAAAACTCTGGATTTGTATCAAGTAAATCAAAACATTAAGTAGATGGTATTTTTTTCTTTCCAGAAACATTTTACAGGACACTCCCTGGTGCATAGTCTCAGAAAATGTAGCGAATGCATGCATACATGCACAAATAAGGAAAGAGCATGCCCTGTAATGTCAGCTCAGGCTCTCCATGAACCTGGGATACCCTTCTGTCTGCTCTGGCCCACATGCTCATGGCTGGAGCAGGTTCTCTGTGAAGGGCATGTTCATGGCTGCTGAGGATTTTCAACCTGGAACTGGTTTAGAGAGGGCATCTTAATGCCACAGAGGCCCTCGTGCCTGAGAGGCTCTTCCCCACTTGAAGATCTGGTCGATAAGAAATTTAAGAGCAGAGATGAGGTTTAATCCTTTACCCCACCACGGCCTCTGCCTAACCTCTGGCCCCCACCCCAACACCAGAGCAGTACACACCATTTACCTTTATTTCCTTATTCTGCTTTATAGTCCCTCATAGCATTTATCACCCCCATGACATCACAGTACATATTTATCTTTTTACTACTTCATGCCTAGTTTATAATGTAAGGACTGGGTATTGGTCTATTCACCACTGTTTCCCAGCACCTGGATGAGTGTCTAAATTATTTATAACTATCTGCCAAGTGAATGCACCTTGGCATCCCCCAGGCCTCACGCTGTATCTGGCACTAAATGAATGTTGAATAAATGGATTTTATGATAGTCCCTATTTCCTTTCCTGAGGAAGATTAAGAAGGCTAAGAATAATGATCATTGCTAAATGCCCCAAATGATCAATAAACAGAAAACACAAGGATAATTTACTTACAAGTAAATTCATGAGCACAATTGGGACAAACATTGTGAAGATAATAAGCTGTGCAAAAGACAGAACTGGATATACCAATTCATTTCTCAAAAACGGTTCCAGGAAGGCATCACGGTAATTAATATCTCCTAGCATCATGCTGAAGGTCTGGATTATAGAAAGCAATGGAGAGCTGAAAGCATCCTGAGAAAAGATGGTAAGGTAAGAATGCAATGCAAAATGCATATAATGAAAAAAAATGTTTTCTGGAGAGTAAAATGATAAAAATCATATTTAAAATACTCTTTTAAATCACAGGACTATAGCTAATGCTAAGAACTACTAATAAATTAGTGATAAAGTCATCAAAATTATATTTTCTACACATAAGACAAATCATCATGCATTATATTTAAACTTTTTGACAATGGAAAAGAGTCATGTAGTAAGGCTGCAATAAAAGTCATCTGAAGGCTATTTTATCAAGTAAAAAAATAGTTATATTACTATAAATTTTCTAGGCCATCAAGATTTAAGTATAAATATGTATTCCCAATATTCACAGCAACAAAATCAACTACTGATGCCACCACCTCACCTGTATACTCAGGAGGACGTAAAAGCTGAGGCCAAAAGCCAAAAGAAGGAAGACAAACACGACTGTAGACCTCAACAAGGTTTTCATAATTACTTCCAGCATAACGATGAAAATTCCACAATGTTCAAATCTAGGAATATTTAAAAATTAAAATATATATTCACTTTTCTAGTCAAATTGTATTTCATTTAATGTCAATATTTATCCTGCATTAGGTATTAGGTTTCGCAAATGAGTAACTCTTTGAAAAAGGAGACAGAATTCATGAATGGTCATCTTATTTTCAAGCTGTTTGTCACACAGCTTTGTTTCTTCTTTTTCCGTCTTAGTAATATTTATCTTTGTCTTACAACTTAACCACTAGGCATTACTTCACACAGAGGAGGACAGAAAAATCTTCCTGGTATCAAAAAAAGTGCTACCAAGGGGCACCTGGGTGGCTTAGTTAGTTAAGCGTCCGACTTTCACTTAGGTCATGATCTCGTGGTTCGTGGGTTCGAGCCCCGCATAGGGATCTGTGCTGACTGCCAGCTCGGAGCCTGGAGCCTGTTTCAGTCTGTGACTCCCTCTCTCTCTGACCCTCCCCTGCTCACGCTGTCTCTCTCTCTCCTAGAAATAAATAAAACATTAAAAAAAAATAAAAAAAAATAAAAAGTGCTACCAAAGCGTGAGAAAGGGATCTGAGAGATGAGATGTAGGAGGCAGCCAGTGGAGACTCTACATGAGCTCATGTACCTGAAGAGCCCATGCGTATGATTTACAGTCACCATCCTCATGGCCTCCTGAGGTTTCCTTTTCCTCTTCCAGTGGGCAACATTATGAAGTGTTTGGGTAGATAATGGGTGTGCCATCCAGCCACCAATTTGAACATTTCCTTTGGCAAAGACAACTTGTTAAAGGGGGAATCACAAGAGTCTAAACCCGAAAGGGGCTTCAGAAGTCTCAGAAACTAAGCTCCCAAAAGATGTCTGGTAACTGGGTAAGGTCACAATGACAAAGCCAGGGGAATGACAGTACCTGGACTTGCCTTGAAGCCTCCTGACTTCCAGACCACTGCTCTTCCCACCATACCATGTTCTTTTAAAGGGGCTGGCCTTAACCCTACAGCATTGTGTGCAGGACATAGTGATACAGAAGATATGGTAGGGAAAGCATGGTGACTGGGGCAAAATGCCTACATCTTGACTTACTAGCTGAGATCCTAGGCAAGTTACTTAGCCCTTCGTCATCATCTTTTATACTTTGCAAGTAATAACATTTACCTCTAGTTATTGTAAGGATAACTTGTAAAGATATTACATGAAGTAGCATCTAACTCAACATTAACAAGTATGGGAGGTAGGAGAGCTTTGCCCTTTGTTCCCTCTCTAGAATTAGATTCTTTGAACTTATTTTCTTCTCTTATATCGCTATTATTCCCCATACCTACCACTTTGTTCTGACTGGTTTAATCTAAAGTAAATGCTTAGCAAATAATACCAAGTAAAACCAAGAATAGCTAATACTTTTATTCCCATTTACTCCCCACACTTAATCTAGATTTGTCTAGACCAGTGGTTCTTGACCTGGGGAAATTTTGCTACTCAGAGGGTATTTGGCAATATCTGGATACACTTTTTGTTGTCACGTGGTGGTGAGGGGACCGGGGGGTGGTTTGCTAGTGGTTACCTAGTGGATGCATGCCACGGATGCTGTTAAATGTTTTACAATGCAACAGACCACCCCCCACAACCCAAAATTATCTGGCCTCAAATTTCAGTAGTGCCAAGGTTGAAAAATTCTGGTCTATACTCTGAACTCCAAATCTCCCTCCACTTCTCCTTAATATATATTAAGTTACCTCCAATTAGAAAATGAAAAAGCCAATTATAAATATGATACTTATAACAGTTCTTTTAATATTAAAAATGCCTAAGGGATATAGAAATCGTTCAAGCTGTCTTTACCTCTGGAGATACAGTAAGAAGTTCATCCAGTAGAAGTATATGGCAATTGCCCCACATTGCCACTGCACATAAGCTGGTATACCAGTGAATAAGGGGGACACAAAAATGATACTTGTTGAGTAGATAATCCATTCAGCTCCATTGGTATAATCCAAAATGTAATTCCTTTTCTGGGGTTAAAAAGAACTCAGAATTACCACATGTAGAGACCAGGACCTAGCGTCTTATAGATGGTTATACATATACTGACCAGTAGCAGCAACTATCTGGCATAGAGGTTGGAGAGGTTTAGGACCAAGGAGCCAGCCTCTGCCATCCTGGACTACACTCAGGGCCCTGGGTACAGACCAGTGTTGAAGGTGGCCCAACCTCTTCTGTTGACCTGGCACTTAGACATCAGATTCCCAAAGTAAATTCTACAACTTTCTGGGTTTTCTTTGAGTCCATTCCTTCTTACGGAAAGTCCTGGGGAGCTGCAAGTTGGCTTAGTAATTCCTTTCTGCCTATGTAAGGACATGCTATACATTTCTCAGGATACAAATGAACTAAAGCTGCTTCTAAGGAAGTTTGAGACCTGTGCAAAGACTTAATTACCATAACAATTCGATGTCATTTCCTATCCTTAAAAATTTCAAGTTTTGGACATCCAATTTGCTACAGACGTGACCATTTCAGTATCAATTTAAAATGTGGAGACCAAGTCTGTTAGAGAAATCTTATAACTTTATAGTTCAATTGGGACTATAATCTGTAAAAAAATGAGAATTATGATGAGATTAATATGCCCTAGATCATCCAAGCTACAATGGAACAATACAGTCTCAGAATTGTGACAATTTACTGAAACTATAGATATATATATGTATATATACACATATATGTACCTTTACACACACATACACACACAGTTGCAGTGTACAATACCAAACAAATGTAAAGCATTGTAACAGTCATTGACATTCTTTCAGGCAGATATCAATGTGCTTGTATAAAAGTAAATTTTCACAGAAAATGAGATACTGTATAAAAGTTATAGATCTTATAAAAATAACATTCATAAAAAATTCCAAAAAGTGAATACTTTAAACCTAAGAAATAAAATATTAATGCCATTTGTTAACCAAAGCAAGGACCTGTAGATAATCCACATAATTCTAGAGTCTGATCTAAATCTGGTTCATCCATTTAAAAAAAGTATGAAGTAAAAATGATGCTATAAAAAGTTCCCAAATTTTATTATAACTTAAGGATTTTATCCAACAAAGAAAAACATTCTTATTAAGAAAGGAACTGAAAGAAAGATCCATCTAGGGGTGTCTGGGTGGCTCAGTCGGTTAAGCGTCTGACTTTGGCTCAGGTCATGATCTCGCGGTTCGTGGGTTCGACCCCCGCATCAGGCTCTGTGCTGACAGCTAGCTCAGAGCCTGGAGCCTGCTTCATATTCTGTATCTCCCTCTCTCTCTGACCCTCCCCTGCTCACGCTCTCCCTCTCCCTCCCTCTCTCTCTCTTTCAAGAATAAATAAAACGTTTTTAAAATTTTTTTTAAAAAAGGAAAGACCCATTTGAAATGGAGTCATGGGGAAGTAAGTTCTTTATAAATAGTTATATTCAAAAGTATCTACTTCCAAATCCAACTATTATGTTAGCAAAATATCAAACTGATAGAGAAAATGCAGAAAAGTCATTCGTAAGTTTATTTTTAGCCAGTCGACTCACATAGACTAGTAAAATGAGAATATCTCTGCTTCAGATTCAAATAGGCACCATTCAATGCAAGAGCCTTGTCTAAAATCATGTGTTTTCTACAGTTTGCAAAGTTTATGCTTGGTGCTTCCAATCTACACATTTGTCAAGATATTTTATTCTGACATATATTGTTTCAATAATAGTTTAGGAATTAATGTTATGCATATTAAAATATTTGCAACTTTAGAGATATAAAATGTACTGTGTACCTGTTGGGAAATTTGGACCACTTCTTTGCAACATCCAAATATACTTGATAAAAAAACTAAAATCATACAAACTTTTATAGAATATGAATTCTGAAACAAAAAATAGATAAAACACAGTTATGAAAGCTATCAAAGAAAACAATACCTTAGCTTTTTGTTCATTTTCACTATTAAATATTTATTTTCTTCTGCTTCATTTCCATGTACTGTTACATTTGCTTTAAACAGAAAATTACGTGATACCAATATCAAGACAACACATACTCATTTCATAATATCCTATTTAAGAGGTTCAAAAGTCACCAAATGAATTCTAAAAGAATATGAATCTGTAAACTTAGGTAAAAAAAAATTTTACTGTGGTAAAATACACGAACATAAAATTTACCATTCTAAAAGTTTTACATTTTACATGTAGATTTACATTTCAAAATGTAGAATTCGGTAGTATTAAGTACATTTCCTATGTTATGCAACCATCTCCAGTGTCTGTCATCATCCAGCTCTGTAACTTTTCATCACCCCCAAACAGAAACCCCGGATCCACTAAGAATCTAAAATCCCTGACAGCCACAAATCTGCTTTATCGCAGACCTAGTTTAAAGTAGTGTACTTCAGCATTAAAGCTAACATCTCGTATATGGCAATTACCTTTAAATTAATTTACAAGCTCATTAACTGACCTATTTATATTCCTTCTCATTTCACAAGATTTTAGGAGAAATTATTCATTTATGAATTCTATAGTCTATTTATAATAATCAAAGTCTTGATACTTAAGATTTACTATTTCTAAGAAAAAAAACCACACTTGTGATCATGTTTTCTTTAAAAAAAAATTGAAATATGAAGACCAATCAAAGATACCTTGGTGTCTAATACTTCCGAATGATCACTAGTTTCATTGATGATTCCAGTTGAGTTGAAAGCCATACCTGGCTTTATGTTGACAACAAGAAAGGTCATAGGCAGGAGACCAAGACAGTAAAATCCTAGATTCATAACATGGGCTCTAAACCCATAAGCCAACCTGCAAAAATAAACAAATCACAATTAGTTTCAACAAAATATACTTATTTAAGATAACCTGTGGAAAAAGTAGTTACAATCTCTCTCAGGAATCTATTGGGTAAATTCATTGAACGTCCATTTTCAGAAACAGAATCTCAACTTCCCAGAAAATCATGAATTACTTAACATATCTCACAACTTAATGGAAGAACAGAGACTAGCTCCTATTTTCTGACTTCCACATTGATTGCTCTTCCCAGGAATCCCTCTCACTTCACTGTCTACTTACTAAACTGCAAGGCCGAGGAGTTTTCTTCATGTCTTACATAAGGATTCCTTCTTCCTAAATATTTCATTTAATGTCAAAGATGAACAACAGCATTTTTAATACCAAAACATTTGCCTTTGACACATTTCTTTTTCAAAGTGTGAAACATCAAAATAATAAAGTCTAGGTGGCTCAGTTGGTTAAGCATCCAACTCTTGGTTTCAGCTCAGGTCATGATCTCATGGTTCATGGGTTTGAGCCCCATGTAGGGCTCCAGTCTGACTGTGTGGACAGGGGGCTGCCCCCATCCCACACCTCTCTCTCTCAAAATAAATAAACTTAAAAAAGTCTAAAATACATTATTTAAAAGAATTTAAATAAACTTAATGATGACATTATTTAAAAGAAATATGGGGGCGCCTGGGTGGCTCAGTCGGTTAAGCGTCATGATCGCTTCATAAACTGAGCGTCATAAACTTCGGCTCAGGTCATGATCTCATGTTTCATGGGTCCGAGCCCCGCATCGGGTTCTGTGCTGGCAGCTCAGAGCCTGGAGCCTGTTTCAGATTCTGTGTCTCCCTCTCTCTCTGTCCCTCCCCTGCTCATGCTCTGTCTCTGTCTCAAAAATAAATAAGCTATTAAAAANTTTCATGGGTCCGAGCCCCGCATCGGGTTCTGTGCTGGCAGCTCAGAGCCTGGAGCCTGTTTCAGATTCCGTGTCTCCCTCTCTCTCTCCCCTGCTCCTGCTCATGCTCTGTCTCTGTCTCAAAAATAAATAAGCTATTAAAAAATTAAAAAAAAAAAAAAAAGAAATCCTACTTGGAGCACCTGGGTGGTTCAGGTGGTTAAGCATCTGACCACTGATTTTAGCTCAGGTCATGATCTAATCGTTCCTGGGTTCAAGCCCCACATCAGGCTCCGTGCTGACAATGCAGAGCCTACTTGGAATTCTCTCTCTGCCCCTCCCCTACTTGCTTACTCTGTCTCTCTTTTAAAAATACATACATACATAAATACATACATCCTGCTTAATACCTACCATTTTGTAAGTAAATATTCTTTACATACAGGATGGTTGAGAAGCTCTATGCGGTTATGTTGTACCATTGCCTGAGAAATAAGGAAAGATCAATAAAACTAAATCATAGTAAACTATTAAGTACCAACTAAGATTTCTGTTTGCTGGTTTTATAACTTTATTATAAAAGTAACACTTTATGAAAATTTGAAAAATCAAAAACTATCAATGTGTTTTAAAAAAAACACAAGTTAGAGAGAACCATTTTATACAGACGCACTTACTTGATTCATTTTGTCTCTCTCAATTTCTCACTAGTTTATATAGAATAAGCACTTTAATCTTATGCAAAGTTACAACTGGGAAGGATATTAAAAATAAATAAGAGCTACACTCTTATTCTTTCCTTGAAGAAGCTCAAGTTTATTTTTCTAGAAGGATTTTAAATAGTAGAGTACACATAAATAGTGATTAAATTAGCTTGTAGATTATTAAGTTTTCATAAATTATTGGGAACTGTATCTATTTTAAAATTAATTTTTAATTATTCAAGAAATACATAGAGGAAGTGATGTCAGCAAGATGTAGAATAGGAAGTCCCAGACCATTCTGTGCCCATGGAGACAAGATACATCAACTTAACAGTGATTCCTGGACCAACTGCCTTTGTAAGAAATACAAAAACCAGTTAAGAGGTTCCTGTACCCCAAGTGAACCTGTAGCCAAGAAGAACCACATCAAAGACAGTAGGAAAATTCATGGTGTTTACTCGCCATAGCCCCTCTCCCAGCACCGCTTCCGCCTGAAGAGGAAAGCAAGGTGTGGAATGTCCTAACTTTGCAGGGAGCTGCCCAAGGGGTTGGTTTCTGTCTTGCCTGAATCTAATAAGCACTGACAGGTCCATCCAGTCTCTCGGGCTTCTGTGCACAATAGTTTCCGGTGGCAGACCAGCTCTCCTTCCAGAAGAACCATAATGAGGAGAGATTTGTTGTTATTAAGCCACTATTCAATCATACCAAAAGTCATCCACTAAGGGAGGTGTATGTATTCAAGCAAGCTCACTTCCTATAAATTATTCTGAATCTATAAAGCCTATTTCCTTTTAGAAACCACAAGGATTTTATTTCCTCCTATTCTTATTCTGCTGGTGGAAACAATAAACTCTGGTAGAAGTATTGCCTATTCTTCAAGTTACAATTTAAAAACCTCCACATACACACACAAAAATTCTCCCAAGTATAGCTATAGTATAGTTACTTTTAGGTCACTTGACTATAACAACAACTGCAAAACATAACATAATCCTGCGGAGCTACAATGCTTTGCATAGAGCCAATGTGAGAGTTAGTTTCCCCTGCTAACCTTGTGGGCATAAAATCCACAGGACTCCGTATCCGCCCACTCCAGGCACTCAGTAAGCCTTCTAGAGACCACTTAAGGTGATGGTTGTTACCATGGTGTATCAAAGGCTTCCATGTAGGGAAATGAATTCATTTAAAGTGAATGAAAATTCCCAATTGGTCTGGACCAGTGCTGTCCAATAGAACTTTCTGCAATGATGGAAATGTCCTCTATTTGTGTTGTTCAATGAGAGCCACAAAGCACATAGTCTACTGAGCACTTAAAATGTGGCTACGCAAATGAAGAAACTTTTAATTTTACTCAATTTGAATTTTAAGTAGTCACATTTGAATTTTAAGTGGCTAGTGTTTACCGTATTAGACAACACAGATATAGACCCTAGACCACAGTTTGGAAATCGCCTTCAAATAGGTTTTCTTTTGCTTGCACAGAGGGCTGGGCTGCAATTCCCACGTGGCTGCAACCTGTTGACACTAGTAGCGCTCTCCTTTTGGACCAGGATCCCACTCATCAGTGACCTCTTTCGTCCTCAGTTATTTATTTGAGTTGGAGACCCGTGGTTTAGACTGCAGTGGATCATTTGCATGGCTTTTGTTGTCCCATCTGCTGGAAATGTAAAAGTCTACTTTGGAATAAGAGCTGGCTTGGTCTTAAGTCTCTTGGCCATTTTGGGTCCATACTGTGCATGTTGGGCCTGCTTTCAGATTGGAATCTCTCCTCCAGGAGGATCAAAGAGTTTCTGAAAGATCAGAGTTTACTGTGGAGCCCAGTGGTTGGCTGAACTTAGAATCTGTGACTGTAAAATGTTACTCCTCCATTTTCCTGTGGCTTGCATGGAGGAAACTCTTAATATATATGTCTATATTTCGGTGGATGGAGGTGGGGAGTAAGCACTGACTGTCAGCCTATGCTGTCCATAGTTTATTAGATTTTGGCTGAAGCCAGTTTAACATGACCATCAGAATTAAAGTGATTAAGAGTGTAGAACTTTACTAAATTTAAGCAATTGTGGAAAATGACTGCTTTCTTTACTAAAAAATAAGGGGTTAGGACACTTGGCAGAGAGAAACATCAAACTATTCATGCGGAATTCTCTCCAGGCCCCTCCCTGGAAATATACCAACACACAGAACCCATGTAGAAACAACCCAGATAACTAAGACACTGGACTTACGTTGAGGGTTGTAAGAGGCTCATACGTAACATCCTGTGCAGATGTTCCTTTCTTGGTAAATTCTAACGGACACTGAAGATATCTGAAATTATACGCGATCTATGGAAGACACATTTTTTAAAACATTAACAGCCTAGTATAGTATATACCCCAACGTAGGTCTTGACAAATCAAATACGTAAGTCTATAATTCTAATGAAAATTAAGTACTTCAAATAAAATTGAGTCATTTGTCTTAAGAAATGTAGCTTATTTCATCTTATTTTCAAAATAAAATATCCTAAAAGGCTATTACTTAGCCTTCTATAACCCATAGCCACGAAAGACGATGAATTCTCAAAAGCTCACTTAGGTCTTTGGAATTTCATTCTTCAGGTCAGTACTACCCAAGAAAATACAAAGACTAGAAACAACCCTAAATACTACTATTAGAAACAATTAAAATATTGGGAGAAAACCAAGGAAAAATAGTCTCATAAGCAGGTGATATAATAATATGACAAATGAAGATAATAATTACCATCTTCTGAGACTGTGGAACTCTAGTAACATTGTTTTTAATATTCATTAAATAGTTACAATAAAATAAACTTTAAATGACTGTGATAAAACAAACTTACATAATAGTCTTGGCAGGACTTGTCTCCTGTGGAGGGTACCATGCAGCAATCCAAAAGGACCTTTTAGAGAGAAAATAGGGCTAAGATACTGGTCAGAAGACTACATAAGAGATGGGATTTGATCCCATTTCTAAAATTATACCCAAGATATTCCCCTGTCCCCTTCATTTATTTCCAGTACTTCAAAGATAAATTATAATCCACATCATTCAGGAACAAAGTTTAAAATATGAAGTTTTCAACTACTACCATATGACTCAGATACTAAGTGATTCCAAAAAATCTGCCTAAGAATGAAACTGCATTTACTAAAATTTGAATCAAAAATATTTCATTAGTTTTACCCAAAATTTAATGTCTTTCTGGCCTTCTAGAGAGTATACAGCTTATAAAGGATTCCTTGGCTCCATGTAGGTCTCATCTTCTATCCTGCTCAAGCATGGAGTATTGTGTTGGTTTCTGTCCTCACCTGCTAAACAACACTGACAAAGTATTCGCCCAGAGCAGCATGAACTGCATAGTGACGGACAGAGGTTAAAGAGAGAAATACTGAAGGCTGTCTAGGTGCTTGAGAAAAGGAAAGAACTCTTAAGGGTTCATTACAGCCACCTCTATGTGGCGGACATGTAGGGACAAATATTTGTGTGGGGTCCCTGTTAACATAAACTATTGTAGTCACCCCCAATCTGTGTGTTGACACCTTTCTGGTGGCCCAACTTCATCGTCCCAGGAAAGAAATACTGGCAGGCAGGTTGTTCTCCTGGAGCAGGATCTGGACACAAAGCCCCAGATGATTTCACCAGTGTGTCCCCCACAACTCCTGGGGCATCTGGTCAACCTCACCTGCAAGAAGAAAGGGTAGAGGACCTCCTCTTCTGAAGGAGAGAAACAGGGACCCAGGCCCCACTGGGAGGGCACTGCTGTCCTGGCTAGTCTCAAGCACCCAGAGGGACTTAAAAATTTTTCAGTCTCTGTTGGTGATACTAAGGATCGTAAAAGGCACCATGAGAAATAAAGACAAAACTAGACAGTAGCAGTGTGCAAAGTAGAACCAGAAAGGCAGGTCTGAGACTGTTTGAGAACTTTGTAATAATCAGCAGAGACTACAGAAGGGCAAGTGGAAATACATGGAGAGGGATTATGTACATTATTCAAATGTGTGATGTGAGGCTAAACTAAAAGATCTTCCAGTTTCCCTATTTAAGGACAAATTCACAATACTAAAATACAAGGAAATTATGGAAAACTAGAAAATATAAAGAAGAAAAACTAATCATGATCCCACAATTGCGGTAATTCTTACTAACATTTTGGTAAAATCTCTAAGTTCTTCTCCATGTTTTCTATATGTGAATATTTCTAACATACTTTTTACTATTATTAATGCTACATAAAACATTACTATATATAAATATGTCTGTATCTCTGTTCATTAGGACAGATTCCAACAACTAGAATAATTAAGAAATTCTGAGATCATTTTCAATCCTGAATATTTCTATGCCCTTTAATGAAATTTAATTACCTGAAATGCTAATCCATGAACTGGACTGGCTCCAATTTCTATTGGATATTATAAAGAAAAAATTGCACGTGAAGTACTTAGCACATGCTGAGTGCTTACGACAAATAAAAACAGTTAAGTGTGAGTAGCTGCAGTACTAATAACCAAACAACCAGTATAAAAATAGTAGGTTGCATAACATGTGCCAAGCACCTTTCAGAATACTTCATATATTTGCCTCTACATTTTGTAATCACTATGTAAGATCAGTATCAGCATCACTTGTTTAGTGATAAGCAGAAAATGAAGTTCAGAGAGGAGATGACTCAAAGCACAGCAAGGGGCAGAGCCAGGACTAAGTCTCGGGACCCTCAGGCTCCAAATCTGTCCCTATGGCCCCATTTTACTATGTCTCACTGCCTCTCCCAATATTTAAATATATTTTTCCCTCTAAATGACATCCAAAGTCATCTTTTTTTTCTATTATTCTATATCTGTCCCAATCTTCAAATATCCGCCTTCTCAGGAGGTTTTGACCTGCATCCTTAAACACGCACTTGCTCAACAGTTCATGGGTGTTTCTCTTGTAGTGGAAGTCCAGTCACGTGCTGGGCGTATGCTCAGTCTAGCACGGAGAATCACACACTTGGAGGTCCACAGAGGCCAGGGAGGTAGCATAAATGAATGAACTGTGCCAGCCTTAGGAGCTCTTTTCCACTGTTTTTGAAATGCTGGTTCTCCTAGGCCTGGTGTCTGTCCTTACAGTTTGGATAGAGGCATATATAGAGAAATATCTCAGCCACAAGGAGGGCAATGGCACCAAAATGACAATACACGGATGGCAACAAACAGTAGGCATGAGACTGAGTGTACACAAGGAAGAGGCGGGATGACCAAGTGGGAGAGTGCTTGCCCCATCTAAAGGAAGCAGCTGCTCCTCGCCCGGAAGTTTCTGCCTCACCAGATCTGATTTCTACAGGAAGCCAGATATCTGGACCCTTAAGAGAGGCATACTGGTTTCAAATGTGAACAACAAATGCAGATTTGAAAACAATAACATACATGCCCCCCAAAACCACCTGGAGGCTTTAATTCACCAGCAACCTCCGTTAGTAGTCTCTGCTCTAGATTTGGATTATTTGAATAAAAAAATGTTAACCACGTATTCCTCTATTCCACATAAAAACTAATAGCATTCTTTGATCCAAGTAAACACTTGTTGGTTAACTTCCCTGATTGACAGCCTATTGAAAACTAGAAACTTTACTTTAAATATGAAAATTACAATTATTTACACTGTGATTACAGCAGTAAATCCTCATATTATATGCCAAGCATATATCCAGAAGCAGTTTTGTCTGGAGGGCTTACCTTCATGCATTCAGGGAGGTATTCCACCATTTCTATAACTGGACATTTATTGCTTGGAGAATAATGACTAAAAACCTTAAGGCATTCTTCCCATCTGTAAAAAATAACAACAGTGAGAGTAATGAAACAATCACAAGTCTTAATCCTTCTGTTCTACACAACAAAGCTGCCAGTTGAAATTCAAGATTATACCCTTAGGAAAAACCTGAATTTGTTCCAGGGGAACCAATATGTGAATTAAGATCAGACCATTAACAGGGTCCTTGTTCATTAATGGGAATCAGAAATGTGAGCAAATTCCAGGATGGCTGTTATAATCACTGTTCTCTTTCTCTAAATACCTTCTAAAAAAAAAGTAAGCTTTTACTTTCTTTTCCTCCTGAAATCATGAAATAGTATGAGCTGGTCATGCTGGGTAGAGACAATCACATTCACATATATACAATAACACCATAGTACTGAACACATGATATTTAATGTTTAATCCATGTATATAATCATGTGTTGAATTAAACTAGAAAATAACATGTGTCAAGTATGATAATAAGCATGGATTCCACCAGGAGATTACAGAGTCTGCTCCTTTCTTCCCTGCCATTTGGTTGGACATGATAAGAAGATGCCTAAGTTACCAAGGAGGAAACAAATCTCCCACAGGAAGTAGAGAAGAGACCATTTACCTCCAAGACCCTATCTATGTCATAGAAGACTACTTCGAAAAAGTAGCCAAACTTTCTGTTAACCCTATCAGTAAAATCCATCTAGAATATCTCCATAATCAGTAGAAAACTTCTGCTGGCACACGTGCATTGGCTAGAATTTCAAAGGAATAATCATGGGGGAGGGTGCATGGATCTGGAGATTGCCCATGCTTGAAAACACAGGCTTGCTCTGTCTTAAAAATGAAATGGTTCTCCTCTGTGTCCACGACTGGGTGATACTAGGCCCTTGAGCGTATCTGTGATTATGTACATAGAAAAGTGTATGTACAAAAGCTAGGACAAACTACCCCCCAACTTTACAGTAAAACTCCTTAAAATATGGTTTAAAACCCCACAACTACAAAAGGTCATGTGTTAAGGGAAATTCCAATCGATGGCCCTAGTAACAACATGGATCTACCCTGGAGAGGATTTTCACCAACATCCAGTTTTCACATTTCTGTTGGCAAGAGAGGGTAAGGCAGATTCGGGCTGAGCAGGGAAGAGTGTGCTAGACAATGACCATGGTGCCAGACGCTACCCATGCCTGAACCCCATGAGTCTCACATAAGTGTTATGAAGGTGATCTATGCTCCCATGATTTGGAAATGGAAACCAAAAACCAGGGAGGTTAAGTAATATGTCTGTTACTTAAAATAGTACATTAAAAATTTTAAGTTAATGACTGACATTTAAGAAATGTTGACTAACAGCTGAAACTTACTCTTTTTCTATTTCTTCTCAGGTTATGAATCCCTAAATGACAGTGGGATAGACATACCTTTTGTTTTTGATGGTTGTAAGAACCACGTCCTTCCTCTTATTGTGAATTGCAACATGCAGAAAGGAGGCCTGCTGCTTGTTCAGGACAATGTCAGCATCATAACTGAGAAGGAGCGCAACGGCTTTGGCGTGGCCTTCACTCGCAGCAAAGTGAAGCGCGGTGTTCTTTTAGAGAGAACAGGACACAGAAAATCCATTGACAACAGTTAGTCATCCTTTGGCTACTTTACCACTTTCATCTTTGAACTGCTTAAAATAAATTATTAACAAATCCAGGTATTTAATACCAAAATACATAAAATTTAAAACCAGTGTTCAGAATCAAGCATCAGACAATGAGTTTATAGTTTAAACATGGTGCATGCATGTGTGTGCGTGTGTGCATACGGAATTCCAAGTGGTTTTTTACTTTGTTTTTGTATTAAGATGATTCCACAAGGGACAAATGACAAATTTTCTGGTAAAGATGTTGAAGTGAACACAAAATACTTCTAAGAGGTTTCTTGTCTTAGTACAGCAAGGATTTCCAGATGCTGGGTGTTTGTAGGTTTGTGACTTTTTTAAAAAATCAGAAATTGGCATAAGGTTGCCAATCTTTAATTTGCTACACAAAGACATTTTAAAAAGCAGTAATAACCTTCTTTCTCTATTGTTTCATCAAAAAATGTGAATTTTAATTCCATAAAAAGAGGGAGCACATAATAGCAGAATAAAGGATAGTCCTTCAAATCAAATACACTTAGTTATATGAAAACTTACCCCTAACCTCTTCATTTTTCTCAGTTCACCACGGACTAGTGAAAATCTTTTCCTCAATCTACATGGGCCTGTGGAGTCTCTGTGAGACTCTAGAGGTGTCCCCGACATGTACCTACCTGTTGGCATTCTCCTCATTCTGTTCCCCTTACTCATTCCTCACTCTCAGTGTCTGCAGAGTAAGAACCCAGTAAGAGAGTATGAATGCAGCAAGGAAGGAAAAAAAGTGGCTGGAAAGGAAGCTTTCTTGCAATTTTGGAAGTGTCTTCTATGCCAAGACTTCGGGTAGGTATGAAGAACACAGTACGTACCCCTTCTTCATCTAGCCGATCTGTGCACTTCATGTTAGTGTCAAGAATGACCTTCATGGTCTGAGTGTATCCGCCCAAGGAAGCATGATGCAAAGCAGTCCAGCCACTGTGGTCACTGTGAAAGAGTTAGGAAAGGGCTGTTCATTCACTTCTCAGATAAATCGTGGGAAGCGATGCCACCCATGCGAAAGGTGAGTCTGATGATTACAAAAAATAAATGCGTATCTGAGTTCTAGCAACTAAATATGTATTACATATTTCTAAAAAATGAGCTAACTTCAAGCCTAATGGTCTTAAGTAATCTTCCAATAATGTGATTCACATGTATTTTTTAATTTAGATTAATATAAAAGTATAGAAACACATCAAACATCTGGGAGTAGGTGAAACTTGAAACATACATATTTTTTCAAGAGCACAATGTACTTATACACACTACTTTAAATCTTGTTTAATTCTTTCATTGAATATTGTATCAAAAATTTTCCATGATGGTGGTTATTAGTCTTCACGGCCACTAATTATTGCTGCTGCTGCTAATAATACAATACATGGCCTTAAAATGCTTAGCTTAATGCTACTTCTGTTTCTAAGAGTTCGAGACTCTTCCTCCAGCGCTCTCAAAGATGCTTATTAATCCCTTCGGAAAACGTCCTTTTTCACAAAAATTCAAGATGTAAATACAATGAAGGCTTGTCATTCTTCCAAATTACAGATGAAAAAGAAAGTGTGAGATCCTGACACAATTTAATTTCAATGCTAGTGAGCACCCATTTTAGGGTGCAAGGGCCACCTCACCATTTCAGTTATGAGGCATCTAAGCAACAAGTCTCTGGTCTGCATCCACTTGGGGTCCCCTGTGCGTGTCTGCTGCCTGGTGTCCCTTGAAGGCAAGGACCTAAGCAGAGCATTGACTTCTCAGCTGCAGCCCTACTTTGCAGGACTGGTGCTCTGATCCAGAAATGTATGTATCATTACTGTATCAAAACATTAGCTCTTTGCTTCCATGTTGGTAAAATTAGAAGATAGCTTACCCTTCTACAAACTTAGCTTTTTACAAAGATGTCATTTTAATTATGCTACCTTCTTATTATGTTTAATTATTTTAATTTGTTTTTGCTCCTTGTGTTAGACTTCTTTATGTATAATGAAATTCAGGAATATTTCATGTTTTGTGTTGTAGCATAAAGGGAGATTTTCATGTCCATCATCCATAGATGGAATGCAAAGTCCTTGAATTTGTGTGGGGTGTATGTGTACGTGTATCTGCATAAAAGGATGGTAGCATGATGAAGCAAAATATGAAGAACTGTGGTTCAAACTACATTGCACCAAACCCCTTATTCTGTGACCTCAAATGAAGTCTTCAAATCAATAAGCCTTGATGTCTTTGTTAACCAGAAATAATACCGACATCCCGCTCAATATATGAAAAATCATGTATGTTCTGAAGATTAAATAAGATGGACAAAAGCACTTAGTGAGACAGAAAGTTAGATATAATTAAAAAATAGAAAACAACCAGAAAATGGTTGGTTAAAAATAATAAATATTCTGGTCACTTATCCTTACCTGAGAAATAATGCACCCTTTTTTAGAAGAAGCTGAACCACTTTATCATGCCCATTTTTTGCAGCCAGATGCAGAGGTGTCATTCCATGGAGGTCACCTTCATTCAAAAGTCTCGTATCACTCATACCTTCCAGAAGCCTCCGGCAGGTGTTGATACGCCCATAACTTGAAAAAAGTAGGTTTCATATTTTCAAAGCAAATAATACACAGAAAGAAGGCATGCTCATATGTCACATAAATGGACCCCTACCTGGCTGCAAAATGTAAGGGTGATTTCTTATCTTTGCTTTTGGAACGAATGGACACATTAAAGTCAAGGAGGTTATTTACAGAGACAGGAATCCCGTATCTACATGCATAATGTAGAGGAGTACACCCGTCATCATCTTCATCCATTACCAGCTTTTTAATATGTTGCATCTATGGAAAAATTAATATTCTGAATATAACTGTTCTCAAGCTCATATAGTATTTTTTAAACTATCTTGTAGGACAGTATTTTCCAACAAAGGTCAATACGTATATCTTGAGGGCAAAAATATAAACAACTTAAAGGTACTAGAGAAAAATACATTAGGATGATGCTGCATGCTCTGTCTCCCTAAAATGTCTGTTACCATTTTAAAGGTTCTGTGAAGTCCTAAGAACAAGAAGTGTACTTAACATTCAACCCAGCATTGCTACAGGCCACCCTCGTCAGCCGTCCTTTCACTTATTTCTCCCAAATAACAGTTAAGAACTTAATGCTAATGTGTTCTATTGGACAAAAGGGATGAGACATTAAAATTAGGTTTACTTTAGGGGTGCCTGGGTGGCTCAGTTGGTTAAGCATCAGACTTCATCTCAGATTATGATCTCATGGTTTGTGAGTTTGAGCCCCATGTCAGGCTCTGTGCTGACTGCACAGAGAGCCTGGAGCCTGCTTCGCGTTCTGTATCTCCCTGTCTCTCTGCCCCTCCCCTGCTCATGCTCTGTCTCTCAAAATGAGGAATACAAATATGTTGAATAGTTTTTCTATTTTTTTTAATGCTTATTTATTTTGAGAGAGAGAGCAAGCATGAGCGGAGAGGGGCAGAAAGAGATGGGGAGAGAGGATCTTAAGCAGGTTTCGCTTTGCCAGCGCAGAGCCCCAGGCAAGGCTGGATTCCATAAAACCTGAGATCATGATCTGAACCAAAATCAAGAGTCGCATGCTTAAGTGACTGAGCCACCCAAGCACTGAAGCATCTTAATTGATGATGAAGTATCGCGAATTTACTCATATACTTGCCTTTACTACTGATATGCAATTTGTAATGGTTAAAAGACTGATAGAAAGCTGAATTATAGAGGAGGATATAGGGAGGGAACCTGGGTGGCTTAGTCAGTTAAGCGTCCAAATCTTGACTTTGGCTCAGGGCATGATCTCATGGTTTGTGGGTTAGCGCCCCACATTTGGGCTCAATGCTGGTGCTGAGGAGCCTGCTTGGGATCCTCTCTCTCTCAAAATAAATAAATAAATCTAAAGACAAAATAGATGGGGAATATCGGAAACCTCTGTAACTTGAAAAATTCAACCTTAATGAAATATATTATCATAATCATCACCACTGTGTTATAAATATTCAAATACAGAATTTTTATTTTAAAATAATTTTTAAATTCCAGAATCAGACTTCATACTAATAAAAACCATTTTAAGCAAAATCATTTTACCCAACTCCATTTATGGAAATCTCTCTATATATATCTATTACCTGAATCCAACTTGGTTTATGTAAATCCACATACATATCTATTACCTGCATAAACTCAGGTTGCAGATTTTTTAATCCATAAGGTTGCTGTACAGTGAAATGCAAAAAATTACGTCCAAGATGGTCTTTTATGTCTACACGGGCACCTAAAGAAAACACAATATAACTTCTACTCATTTATTTAAAGCATGACCTATGGTGGATTTTCAAGTTAAGGAAATTAAAGATTTTTTAATTAAAACTTTGTCACCATTAACTGATAGGAAACTTTATTTATAAAAAAAAAAAAGCTATATTTAAAATGGTTTTACCTTACTGTGTATGTGTGTGTATGTGTGGGGGGGGGTAGAGAATATATGATTTGTTGCATTAATATATGAGATCTCACCTTTTAAAGCATAAAATATAAAGATGGAGAGATTAGATAGCAAGAAAAAAAAAGGGATAGTTCTCTTCTTTTTTATCTTTACATCAGGTTAGTACCTATGCTGGGGACACTTGCAGTACCTACATCACATGATAAATCTTGAGAAAATGTAGATAAAATGCTTAACAGCATACATGCAACATAAATGTTACCTATGACTGTTCGAAAATTATCTTTTTAAGTATCACTCCCTTACTGAACTGAAAATTTTTCTAGACAGGGAAGTATTGTATTTATCTTTGTATCCACAGCACCTGACCCAATGCTTGGCACATGATAAATGGCATAAAATGTTTACTATCATATTGAGTAGCAGTTGTAAAGTTTGGCTTGGTTCCTCATGGTACCTTTAGACAGTAGCAAATTTACAATATTCCAAGATGCAGAAGCAGATGCTAATATAAGTGGAGAACGTCCTTCCGAATCAGTGCTATTGATATCTGCTCCCTAAAATGAAGAGTTTATGAACAAATTAACTTACAAATTACAAATGATGTTAGTTCATTAAAATAAAGTGTCCATATATGGCAGGAATTCAAGCATATGACTAACTATAGAACTATCTAAAATTTGCCTATAATCCGTATGTTGGAACATCATAAATCAAGGCATTTTTTAAATTTCTTAATGTTTTATTTATTTCTGAGAGAGAGAGAGAGAGAATGTGCATGAGCAGCCAAGGGTCAGAGAGAGAGGGAGATACAGAATCTGAAACAGGCTCTAGGCTCTGGGCTGGCTGTCAGCACAGAGTCCGACACAGGGCTCAAACCCACAAGCTGAGAGATCATGACCTGAGCTGAAGTTGGACGCTTAACTGACTGAGCCACCCAGGTGCCCCAAGGTGCACCTTTTATAATTTCAACAAATTATCATCACGTGTTAACCTTTTGGATGACATTTGGTGATAGATCAACGTTATTACCTAAATCACAAAACAAAAATCCTCTGAGCTATAGCAATAGTTTAGTTCTCAATATAGTTTAGTTCTCAATATAGAAAAGGCTTTTAAATATCCATGATAGAGGCACCTGGGTGGTTCAGTCAGTTAAGTGTCTGAATTTGTCCCACCACGGTTGGTGGGTTCGAGCCCCACATCAGGTTCTGTGCTGACAGCTCAGAGCCTGGAGCCTGCTTCACATTCTGTGTCTCCGTCTCTGCCCTTCCCTTGCTCACACTTGGTCTCTCTCAAAAGTAAATATTAAAAGAAATTTTTTAAAATATCCATGATAAAAAATTATCCATATTTCCTGATATGTGATTTTTAAAACATTCACAATAGTTCACTTTAAAAAAAATCTACTTGATCTAAAATAGATGAACTTAAATAACTGAAGTAATTCAGATCCTAAAGTAAAATTTTACTCAAATTTCTGATAAAATGTATACTTAAAAATCCTATCATATAGATAGGTAGATTCTAAGTTAATAAGTCAATCTTTATCATTACGTGTTATTGTTATATTTTACAGGGCCAAAACAAAAGCTTAAAAAAATTCATGGGAAGAATTCTTTCTCTTGGACAGGGATAAAATAGCTTAAACTTGGACCCTGTATATTTCCCTGTTCTTTGGGGACCCAGTGAATACAGATGCTAGCCCCAGGGTCCCCTTCAAATGTCTGATACTGGTTAGTGAGGTTCTGCCCTGGTCCCCTTGCCAGGCGAAGACTCAGCTGCATGTGCAGGAAACCACACATGACAAAACTATGGCATATAACGAATCTTTCCAGGATTCCTCTATGTAAATATCACAATTTCAATAGTTGCTATTGACAACAAATGCCCCAGAACACGATAAATGGAACTACATTCATTGCTGATATGGTGGGACTTAAATACATACATCATACAGTCATCTGTGTAAATGACTTGTTAAAATTTAACTCAAAAGTCAGCTGAGTACACCTCTTAGAATGAAAAAGATTGTGTGCTTTCAGTTGTAATACACGTTCGACAATATTTTTAGTTTCTCAGTTTTTCACTGTTTGATAGATGGCGCTGAGGCCGCTGGGGCGGAAGCTGACAGAGAATGTGAACAGTGACATGAACTGCCCGCCCTGCCTCCCTCGGCCACTGCTCTGCGTGACAAGTGGGCGGAGCTGCGAGGCCCCACCCTCCGCCAGGACCGCTTCACAGAGCCATGCTTACTGTGTACCCACCCCCACCGACTCCCAACACCAAAAACACGGACACAGGTCTCGAAAGTACACTGTGGTACTTCTGACCAACTTCGTAGGAATGAAGTCCGGCCATTATATGCATTCGTACACAAAATACTCTATTTGTAAATGTGTCGGTCATCTTCTTGTAAACTTTTTTTTTGCTGATGAGCAACAAAGTAAAATTTGGCTTATTTTTGAAAATCTATTATGTAATTATCTGATTTTCCAACTGTAAATAGTAATAAAAAACCGTCCATGGAATAGTTACCACTGAAATTAAGTAGTCTGCTAGTTCATGATGATCAAATAATGAGGCTCTGCAAAAAGAGAATGATAAGCATATTAAAGTACTAGTGATAAAAATATATAAAGCTACTGTAATATACGCAAAAAGCTTAATTATCACTTAACAACATAATAAAATGCTAGAAGATCAATAGCCTTTCAAAATTTATAATTGATTGTGATTAGGGTAATATTTTCAAAGAAACTGAGAAAGTCCAAATACATCACAAGATTTCCTCATCTTTTAGTAAAGTGACTATTTCCTTACCAAATCATCATGAAGATATGGGGGCACCTGGGTGGCTCAGTTGGGTAGGCAGCTGACTTCAGCTCAGGTTATGATCTCACAGCTTGTGAGTTTGAGCACCGCATCGGGCTCTGTGCTGACAGCTCAGAGCCTGAAGCCTGCTTCAGATTCTGTGTCTCCCTCTCTGACCCTCCCCTGCTTGCTCTTTCTCTCTCTCAAAAATAATAAACATTAAAAAAATTTTTTTAAATCATCATGAAGATATGGAGTAGTAACATCTGTCCTAAGAGCTTAAAGTAAAAAACAGAAAAAAGAACTGGCTGTTACCGCTGTGATCACTGGGAAAAAGAAAAAAACCAGTTGCATGCAAGGTGCACCTAAAATTCATCTGCAGTGTTCAAAATGCCCTCTTTTCACCAAAGTTAACAAGGCAGCACTAGTTTTCCTAAGGTTTTATGAAGCCAAAAACAAATTATGGGGGAGAATTGAAGTCATTGTGGTATTATCTCATAGCCAATCACAAAATAACATTAATAAAGCAAGCAAAAGTTTTTAATCTATATTAAAGTGCCTCCATAGCAAATGTTAATGCTAATGATTGAAAACTTATATTTCATATTAAAATATACTTTCTTTGTCCCTATTTAAGATTATCTCAGCTAGTCTTAGTATATAAATTCCAGAATCAGCTTGTCAATTTTCACCCCAAATCCACAAGAGGTTCTATTACATTTAAATCACATTAAACATGTTTAGTAACTGAAGGGAAATGAATGATAACACTATGGCCCCCATTTGATTTGTTCTTCTATCTCCCTAGTCTAGAGCTTTGCTACTCAAAGTGTGGGCTACAGACCAGCACTGGCAGCACTGGGGAGTTCACTAAAAATGCAAATTCTCAGTAGTTAGCACTGAGGATTGCCAAATGTTACATAGCCAAGTAGGGCTGGCAGCCCATTCCCCGTACTGCAAAGCTTATTGTTTCAGCCAGAGCAATGTACTGAGGTCTTTGCACTATGATAAAAAAAAAAAAAAAAAAGAAAAAAAGAAAAAGAAAAAATTCTAGCCCGAAGAGCAAACTTTCCTTTGAAGCTCAAAATAAACTCTAAATGCCACTGGCTACTTCAAGGATATATATTCCAGGATTATAAATCAGCATTAGGTTAATTAAAATTGGACTGCATCAGTCCAAGAAATCTACAGCCAACCCAAGTTGAGTATGTCCAACGAGAGTAGTCACCAGGCTAAGGACACTTATGGGTAAGGTGAATGGACTTTTTCCTAATACTTCTTATGCATACTTGTACATTAAAGCTGTGATCCAAACACACACATTTTAACTGTATCCAGATCACTGCAGTTCTAAATTAGATAAAACCTGGAAATAGCGTTTTAAAAAGTGGCTAAGACCATTGCACAGAATCTGAGGTAACTTGGGATATGAACTGGCATGAGGACTTTATAAACTACGTTCTAACGTGCAGCAATTTGAGACTCTGCAGTGTGGGGGTCACTCTATCTTTTATTTTTGTTCTGATCAGCCGTTTTCATATCACCAGTCTTTTATTCCAACTGCCAATTTATTTTTGATAATCTGTTATCTTAATCTATTTATTTTCACATCGTTGATTATGTGAAATAATCCTCTAAATCCTTCCTCTAAATTTCTGAACCTTAAGTAGCCTTATTTTAAAATTATTTTCAGCTTGCTGTTATTTCTATTTCCTTGGAAGCAAACTACCCTTTTGTTGAATCTGCTGTCCTCTACAAATTTTCCTCTATGCTATGAAATTTCACTTTGCAAACTCATCCCAAGTGGGAGGTTCTCTCTATTCACACACAGCTCATTGTGGCTGGTGCTTTTACTAACATGGACATTCGCCCCCCATCCCTCTAGCTGAGAACTAGATCTTCTATTGGTAACCAGACTTTCTTTTTCCCTGAGGGACACTGTAGGGTTCCTGGTGCAGTTAACTACTGGGAATACTCAGCTCTTTCCTGTCAGTCAGGGCTTCCAGCATGCTCACAGCTGTGTGTGTGAGGGAGAGAAAGAGAGACAGAGAGAGGAAGGTCTCATCTTGCCGACCTCTTTCACTCACACAGGAAGCATTTAATTCTTGTCTTCCAAAAGGAAATGATCTCAATCCACACTGCCTGTTTCCTGTCCTAGCATCTAGTAAGCCTAGTTTCGCACGCTTTTTTTTTCTCTGATGTGTATTTCTGCTAAACTTCCAAAAAAACCCCAAACATTTATCTTGTTTGGTGCTTGATGATCATTTCCTAAAACTGGAGGCTTTGAGAACATTTATAATCGTGAGGGTGAGTGGAAAGGCAAATGGGGTGGGAAAACTGGAACACGCCTATGTATCTGCTCCATGATCTCCAATAAAAATGTGAAGACACATATGAGGAAGTGAAACAGATTAGAAAAAGGCTTAGGAAGGGCATGTATGTTGACCTCCTGAGAATACAGGGAATTAATCTTGGGTCTATACCCACTGGCCTGAGAAGTGATCCAGAACATGCCACTGGAAATTTTATTTTATGAAAATCTATTTAACATTCTAATTTCAGAGGAATACAGAGATTCCAGGTGAAACACAGATTTCAGCTGAAACACAGAATATTTATCTCTTACTTTCTTTTGAACTATAGAAACTCTGCTACTATAAGCACTTTTTCCTGCAGGATATAATTTAATACATGAAGACTGAAAACGTGTACACACAATGATAGGTACGACACTTGCCTGTGAAGGAGTGTCTCCTGGTTTCCATCCACCGCATTGACAAGGTCACTGCTACCAGAATAGGAAGAGATCATCAATTTCACAATCTCAGTGGCTCCCTGGGTGGCAGCAAAATGAAGGGGTGTGCACTTCCCATTCTGCAAAGAGGCTTAATATCAGAATCAGTCCAAATTTAAGGTTACAACCTAAATTCAGCTCTGAGGTTTTTTCCTTCCCAAGTCAACAAAATCAAGCATCAATATAAGTATCATGGCTAGCAATTTTGCTTCCACGCAATCTGATAGCTCTTGACAACTCAGTATCTCTACTGTTATCATCAGTATCATTACCGGTACTATATTTGTATTTGCAATTATTTTGGGTAGCTCTTAAGATTCTTTGGCTAGGCTGAAATTTGGGATATTCTCTTGTTCTGCTTCTACATGAGCAGCAAAAAATAATACCTACTTCAATCTAAATTAACTGCAAAAGAGCTATAAAGCATTTTGGAAACTAATTTATGACAATTCTAAATAAAAGTAGCATAGAATATGAACAATTACTTCCATCAGTTCCAACTGTGCGCCATTGTCCAAGCACATTTTAATCATTTCCAAGTCACCACTCTGAACCGCCATGTGGAGGGAACTAGCTTTCCCATTATTCACAAAGTTAATATGAGACTCTCTGCTATATCCATGTTCCTCACCTTTAGAAGAAAACAGAATTCAAGAGAACAAATATTATAAATAAATAAGAGGAATTTTAGGGGGGGAAAAGGACATTTAGATTGACATAGAAGCCTGTGTATAAACTCTATTAAATATTTTTCAAATTAATAGCATCCATCAGAATAGGATTCTTTATACTTTACAATGTACAAAAGCCTCTACTCACCAAACTTTAATATTATTTCCATGCATTTTTTGGAACCTGAGAATGCAGCTAGATGAATAGGGAAACATCCCCATTTATTTGCCGTACATGGCTTAGCTCCTTTATTTAACTGGAGTAAAAGAAAGAATAAAACAAAGTCAAGTGACACATTTAACCCCAAATCACAAGGATAGACAAGAATTAAATGCCTCTCTCAGACCATTTCATTATTCTGTTCCTAGGAACACTACGTAGAATTCATAGGATATGAAATCTAGGAGGGAAAGGAATTTTGGGACTAGGCTAGGATTATGAACTAGAGACACTTCATACTTTTCAAAGATGAAATAACAACATGGGCATAAACATATCAATCTTGATCCTCCAAACTAAAGTTAACACATTTTCAACGGAATTAATGAAATGTTTAAAACATTACCATGACTTCTAGATCCATGCTTGATTCTTTATGTTAATAAAGTGATAATATTTCCCAGATTCTTTCCTCCCATTTATGTAAAATTTATAAGTGGTAAGACCAGCAGTTTTGTTAAACCATGAAAATCAAGTATTTTCATTAATGGAAATTCTCTGCTAAAAGGATAGAAGAACTGAATCTAATATTCAACCTTGATCTGAGTCCATCATTTTCAACTATCATTTTTTTAATACATCATTGAACTTCAGTTTTAAACGCATTTTCACAAAAGGAAAGAATGTGAAAAAGCAGAATAGTGTGAAGAAGCTAATATTACCTGTGAACTCACCTTCAAAGAACAGTGTTGTTTACATTTTAGGAGACAATATTTGTCTTACTTCTTTACAAAAGTAATTATGTGTATATGGTGTAATCACACTGTTCAAAAAGATTTTACTTAATGACATTCTTTAAAACTATGATTTTATTAAGTACATATTCCATTTTTGGATACACAAAAGTTTATACAATAAATCTCTATTACTGACCTATTTTTTCAGTTTTCTTCCTCTGATATATATAACACTAGCGTTAATAACAGTAATAGCTTTAATTATCTCCTTGGAATGTATTCCAAGAATTAGAACTGGTAAATCAAAAAGTATTGATATCCACAGTGAATGAAATTCTTTAATTTGTCAAAATGTCTCCAAACCTGAACGTCAACTAGCTTGTTTCATCCTCCAAATTTAGGAGATGAAAAAAATGATGTCTCGTTGTTTTAACAAGTTTCTCTTTGATTATTAGAGAAATTGATTAAACTTCATGTGTCCCTTGCCAATTTTCTGTAGAGCACTGCCTTTTCCTCACAAATTTGTAAGAACACCTTATAGACAAATTTTTATCCACTTAAAAATAAATAAATGGGTATAATTATAGGTTTGGTCTGCTCAGGTCAATTGATGTGCTATCATCTGATACGGAACTAGCTGCATGTTTCCTGAATAAGGCCAACATGGAACTGTATGTTATTCATAACTATTTCAATCAATTTCCTAATATTTTTAAGATTTTGCATCTATGTTTATTTATAGGTAAAACTGGTCTCAATTTTTCTTATGAGGAAAACTGTCAAAGTTTGGAATTATTATTACATTTGCTTCTTAAACTAATCTGGATGTTTTCACTCTTTTCTTATGGTATAAAACAGTTACTTGAAATGGAAACTTTTTCCTTGAAAGTTTGAAAGAACTTGTAAAATCTACAAAAGCTTGTAAAGGTAGTTGGCTCCAGAGCTTAATAATGCATTTTTTAAACTTTTTTGTAGTTCTCTACAGGTCTTTACTTTTAATTTCCAAATTCAATTACTTTCAGCTATTCATCCATTTAAAAAAGATATTCAAATTTTTTAGAATAGGATCACGCAGAGTGATCTTTAATCATCTTAAAATTCTTCATCATATCCAGATAAAGTCCTGTTACTTGCATTTTATCTTTTTGTTTTATTCAGACTTGCCGAAAACAGCTCTATCTTATCATTTTCAAAGAAACAACTCTTGACTTACAATATAATGATAATGATATAACGATAATGGCTTTTTCCCAAAAGCCATTAATTTTTTGTTTTCAACTTTACTATTCCTTTATTACAGTCTTCTTTTGTTTTACTTGGGGTTCTTTTTCTAAATTCTTGGTTTGAGTGTTACTTTATTTTTTTTCACTTTTTCGTCCAATCATGACAGCTTATAGGAATATGTATTTTTTTTTCTCCAAACATCTAATAGATATCATATTAGTAAATTTAAATATTCAGAAAGCTATTCTAAAATTATTTTTTAAATTCTGTTTTCCTACTCTCTGGAATAGTGGAGAAGGAAAAAATCAAGTGGTAAAAATACATAACCTGGCCTGAATAACATACAAGTGAATAAAGGATAGTTGAAAGAAAGCTATTTTCTGGAATTCTAGTACCACACTCAGAAGGAACATGATGCAGTCAGTCATTTAGATGGGCATCTCCAGAGTCTCAGTGGACCCCATCAGAAAATCTCACCAGGAAGAAAGGGCTGGCTCTACTTTTAGGGCTGTGGCTGAGGACCTTGGTCATTATGTCATGCAGGGCTCCCTTTCTGAGAATCTTCTAGTCCTATGAACATGAATGGGTGCTTCTCTTGGCTTATATTTCATGAGCCCAACAGTAAATTTGTAGTTGATTTTCTCTCTCCTTAGACTATTCAGGTCAAAGTCAAAAGTATGATCCATTTTTACTAACATACAACCTACTGTACTTTGTATTTTGTAGTCTAGCCTGACCACCAGCTTCATCTTCATTTCTGCAGTCTCTACTTTCTTTTCACTTGGATTGTCTTTCATGTTTTCCTGTTAGCCTTCTGTAAGCTAACAGGAAATTTCAGATGGATTTAAGATATGAGGGGTATGTGTAAATACGAAAACACAGAAAACTGGGTTTTTTCCCTGACATTTTCTGCATTTCATATTTTGCTCAGAAGATAAACTGAGAGCTGTTGTAAACACGAATGACTCATGTTATCCTAATGAAAACAAAGAAAATAGGGATGGGGTTAAAATACAAACCAAGATTTGTAGTGCTTCACTGTTATCTTTGGTGCATGCGATTATCACAGCTGTGTTTCCATTTTCTCCTTCCAAATTAATATCAGTGCTGCTGTGCTCAATCAAGACCTACACAAAAGAGGGGAATAATGGTCAAAAAGTTAGCTTTCCAGTTTCTGAATACGGTATTTGCCTTTCATTAGATTATAATCTCCTGCACTCTAGGGACCGTGTCCTCATTCATCTTTTCTTCATCCTTCTCTCCAGAATCTGGCACAAAATACTGCACACAGTTGGTGTTACATAAATTTCTCAAAAGGATGAAATAATGGTGATTTCTAGATCACATCAATTAAGGCAATATGGAGTTGTGAAACTGGAAATAGAATAAGAATTCTGGATACTAGAAAGCATAGCTCACTTAATACTTTTCGCTTGTATTAAATAAACTATGTTGACTAAGATCTTCAGGAAAATAAATTTGTGGAACCATCTGGAATATGTGAGTGTGGAAAAGAGGGAGAGCAAAAGTGAGGTAGGGAGAGAGAGAGGAAGGGCTGCTTTCTCCTCTTTAGCCATTTTTCTTGTACCTCTATTCCAAGTATTGCATGACATGTCAATTAAAACCCCATTCTCTTCAGCAGAGAAAAGAGTTCACAAAACACTGGTATGGCTTAACTCAATTCAAACTTAGGCTGGAACAGAAATTTACTCTATGGTGTAATAAATCAGCATTCCTCATAAAATGGTTAAGCACATTTTTCTAATGGAATTTAACTGAAGACCTGTTGCCCCTCACCTGGCTGACTTCTAGCTGATTATTGGCCAAGAATCTATAGATCTTTAACCAGACTTCATTTTATATTAAATGTAACAAGAATTATCTCAATAAATGTCTCTCCTAAGAGAGAAATCTTTGAATTGGCCTCCTAAAGGTCTTTTCTCTCATAGACTGTAATAAAACTGTAATGTGTGCTTACAATTAAACTGCTTAAGAAGAATTTATTAAACAAGCTGTTTCCTATAAACCTTAACACACACACACACACACACACACACACACACACACACACACACCCTTGTTAATAGAATGTGTCCTGATAGGTCAGCAAATGAACTAGGCTTACTAATAAGCTCTGCCCACCAAACAAAATTAAATTGAGATTTTAGGACATAAGAACCCATAGGAAATTGTTAGTGGATGAAAGAAAATGAGAGCACAAATTCATTCTGAACCTCAGGCACTTTCACATTTTTTTCCCAACAAACACGAGATTCCCATGCAAAGAAACCTACCAACTCTACAAGACTTTTCCCTTTGCCCTCTTAGAATCAGAGACCATATATTTATAGCACTTATTAGGGTTGCTTACTATCATAAACACAGTTTTTCATAAAGCGGCATAAAATTCTATGTGGCAGAGGTCCCAGAGAGAGCAACTAAACTGTGCCCACTTCAGATTCGCTCATGGCCAGGCAAGTCTGGACATTTGCAGGTGAGGCCTCCAGAGGTCCCTTTGATAAAAATCCAGGAAGCCGCATAGGAGGGTCAGGCCACTGGATACTTAGTGGTTAAGCCCTAAGGACAAAGGCCTGCAGGCTACTGAGAAACAAGACTACCCACTGACCACCAGGTCAACGTGTCCCAGGGAGCACCGTGCACACCGCTGGTGTCTGTGCAAGAACCCGTGGGGACGCGTGAGTAACAATGTTTTACTTTACAACCATCTAGGCAGCAGCAGCAGGTTTGGGGGAAGGCTGGCCAAGCAGACAGGAGACGCATTCTACATGAAGGCTGCTGGGGTACAGGCCAGACCCAGGGGCCTACCTGGGAAAGGTAACCCTAGAGGCCTTGTTTGTAAGCACATAAAGAAACACACCAAAATTCCTCCTCCTCCTTCCATCCTCTTCCTCTCCGGTGAAGTAGAGGGGTTTGGAGATATTTTTTGATGAAGCTACAGCTGGTAAGACCAAGCAAAGGAGAGACAACTAATTTCAGTTCTCTTATAACTCTGCTTTTTTTCTTGTTCTGGTGTCCCCATGAAATACTTTGTTATATACACCATCTAGTTTATAAATCTGTTACGGGCTCATTTCTAAACTCTTTTCTATTTCTGTGTGATACCTTTCTGTATCTGAAGATTTCTGATATCTAAAATTAACAGCCTTTCAACTGTTAGCTGCCTGTGAATTCCCAAATTATCCTCTCAGAGTCAAGGTTAATTAAGTAGTTGGGCACTTGCTTCTAAAAAGAGTCTTCAGAGGAAGAGTTCCATGAGGAAATATGTGGCCTCTGCGGGTGGGGAGGGAGAGCCCCACAGTCACTGGCTGTCCAATGCAAACGCCACAGAAGGAGCATCTGGCTCACAAACAATGCGGACAATTAAACAGTTTACTGCCAAAGGCCTTTTCAATAACCTCTTCAAGGGGCTCTCCTGACACATCTTCTTAGGTGTTGTTACCTACGTTCTTCCATTCTTCAGGCAAAATGCCCATTCACTCATTCATTTATTCAAGAGTCATCCTTTACCACGTGAGGACTGGAGATATTTATATTAGTTGCACACAGTCCTTCCTTCAAAGATAACTGGCCAGGGCAGGAGAAAAACCACAGGAACACTTGATTACAATACGATGTGCTAAGTATCACAGAGAGCTATACGCAAGTTACAGTGGGAAAGCAGAAAGCAGGCTCCCCTCAAACTTCCTATGCTTGGCCTCAAGAAGCCAAGGACCCAATGGGCTGAGAGGAAGGTGTTGGGTTAAAGGGAGCATGGAGTTAAAGGACACCCCTGGGATTTCTCTGATGACTTATTGACAAAGTAGATTTTGGTGTGGTGTGATGGTCCAGATGTTTTTGTCCCTCAAAAGTCATGCTGAAATCCTAATCCCTAATGTGATGGTACTGGGAGGTGGCGCCTTGAGAAGGTGATTAAGAATGGCCTGAGTGCCCACATAAAAGAAATTCCAGAAAGCTCTCTTAACACCTTCTGCTTTGCAAGGACACTAAGATGACAGCCATCTGTGAATGAAAAGTGGCCCCTCACCAGACACCGAACCTGCTAGTGCTCTTACCTTGGACTTCTCAGCCTCCAGAACTGGGAGAAATGAATGTTTGTTGTTCAAGGCCCACAGTCAATGGTATTTTGTTATAGCAACTAGAACTTGGTAAGATATATGGCTTAGCACAATATCTAAGACATTATGTGCAGCATAATTTCCTTGTGAAAACTTACTATCCATTCCTAATTGCCTCCCTTAGAAATGGATATCTGGTGGCCAACAGACATGAAAAGATGCTCAATGTCACTCATCAGCAGGGAAATACAAATCAAAACCATACTGAGATACCACCTCACACTGGTCAGAGAAGCTAAAATGAACAAATCAGGAAACGACGGATGTTGGCAAGGATGTGGAGAAATGGGAACCCTCTTGCACTGTTGGTGGGAATGCAAACTGGTGTAGCCACTCTGGAAAACAGTATAGAGGTTCCTCAAAACATTAAAAATAGAACTACTCTATGGGCCAGCAATAGCACTACTAGGCATTTACCCAAGGGATACAGGAGGGCTGATGTATAGGGGCACGTGTACCCCAATGTTCACAGCAGCGCTTTCAACAATAGCCAGTTATGGAAAGAGCCTAAATGTCCATCAACTGATGAATGCATAAAGAAGATGTGGTTTATATATACAATGGAATACTACTTGGCAATGACAAAGAATGAAATCATGACATTTGCAACAATGTGGATAGAACTGGAAGGTATTATGCTGAGTGAAGTAAGTCAGCCAGAGGAAAGATATCATATGTTTTTACTCATATGTGGATCTTGAGAAACTTAACAGACAACCACGGGGGAAGGGAAGGGGGAAACATAGTTACAGAGAGGGAGGGAGGCAAACCACAAGAGACTCTTAAATACAAAGAACCAAGGGTTGATGGGGGAGGAGGGAGGGGAAAATGGGTGATGGGCATGGAGGAGGCCACTTGCTGGGATTAGCACTGGGTGTCATATATAAGCCAACTGACAATAAACTGTATTAAAAAAAGAAATAGGTATCTGGAACATATTCCATTTGTAAATTTCACTGCCCTTTAAGTAAGCACATGTGTCTTCTAGTGTGTCTATGAGACTCTGCGATGCAGTTTAAAAGCCTTAGACTAAACTTTACCTTTTAGGCATTCACCAGTATTTCCACTATCTGACAGAACTCACTCTGAAGCTTTGGAAAAAATAAGAAATTCCCCAAAAGTATGGTTATGTCTACTGCTAAGACATGCCACCCACTAAGGCATGTCGTCCACTCTAACAAAAATTGTAAATCACAATTATGTTTTCTGTCTTCACTGAAACACTCATTACAGTCTTCCTTTTCACCATTAAATTGAGTAGGTAATAAATGTCCATCAACTGTTGAATGGACCAAGAAGATGTGGTTTATCTATACAATGGAATACTACATGGCAATGAGAAAGAATGAAATATAGCCATTTGTAGCAATGTGGTTGGAACTCAAGGGTATTATGCTAAGTGAAATAAGTCAGGCAGAGAAAGATAGATACCATATGTTTTCACTTATATGGGGATCAGGAGAACTTAACAGAGGACCATGGGGGAGGGGAAGGGGAAAAAATAGTTAAGGAGAGGGAGGGAGGCAAACCATAGGAGACTCTTAAATACTAAGAACAATGTTTCTCTTAATGAGGATTTAAAAAATTGAAAAATATAACGCTTTTTAGAAAATGCTGGCAAACATAAAACTATCATCATTAATCATCAACTGTTGGTAAAATGTAAAACCAACATTATCGTCACTAGATTTCAGTCACTATGGCAGGTCGGGCTGGCCACTCTGGCTCCGGCAGAGGCCCCGGGACATAGGCCCTATCCCACACTCTGATGGGGACACAGGTGGAAGCCATACCTTCACCACCTCATTGTGTAGGCTCTGCACGGCGACGTGAAGAGGGGCCATCATGTTGCCATTTCGGAGGTTTGGGTTGGCTCCTTTGCTAAGGAGAAACTTAACACTTTCAACCTGGTTTTTTTCTGTGGCCCAGTGCAGAGGGGTATTTCCATCGTCATCCATCACATTCAGCACTAAAAAAGGACACAGAAATAAGGATTAGATTTTGCTTGGACTTATATTCAACACCTACTGATGCCTATTCACTTCAAAGCTCAGTGCCAAGTGCTGCTGACACAGGCTTCACCTTCTGTATAATAAAATTAAGGGGTCGGCTCACTCAGTTAAGCATCCAAGTCTTGATTTTGGCTCAGGTCATTATCTCACAGTTTGTGAGTTGGAGCCCCTTAATGGGCACCATGCTGGTGGTGCAGAGTCTGCTTGGGATTCTGTCTCCCTCTCTCTGCCCCTCCTCTGCTTGCTCGCTCACTCTCTCTCTCTCAAAATTAATAGTAAAACATAGTTATGTTCCTTCAGTCCTCAAGAAACATCTAATGGACACCTGAAGATACAGGGGATATGCTGACGGATGGCATGAACTTTGTCAAATGGGTTAGATGTCCATCTTTAGCATCTATAAGAAATAGATTCTCCTATTGCTACATGCTTTTATCTGTGGTACAAATTTGGGGATAGTTACAAAATATTGAGCTTATATAAAGCAGAAACTAGGAAGTTCTATACAATCATTATTGCACTCAGCCCTCCAACAGCCCACAAGGAACCATGACCACTTTTCAGAAAGATAAAGAAAAATAAGGCCTGGAGAGTTTCAAAATCTTGCCAACATTACATAGCGAGTATAGAGTTCTATAAACTGCCTTACCTCTTTGAATCTTAGTATTATTATATTCAAATCTGATAAGAAGGAAGAAGCAAAGGATGAAAGAAGAGAAGGAAGGAAGGTGAAAGAAAAACACTTAAGTATATATATTTCACAATGTTTTGGGGAGAAGAATATCAAATCATGGCTTCAAAGATCTTGTAGAGTATTTGGCCCAGAGCAATGCTTCAAAAAATGTTAATGAGGAAAAAGACACACCACTAATAAACCAGAAGACGGGAATTAGGGCCTGTGCTCCTAGTGCCATATGTGGTTTCCACTCATTTCTGGGCTACAACACATTGTACTGTTTACTCTGTGGGCTCAACCTAAGGATATGCCCTTTCATACCACGGTGTCTCAGATCTATTCTAAAATAGACAACCATTTTAATTAGTGGCAAGATATTCTTATGTCTGAGGCAGGAGTAAAGTATTCAGTCACAAATATGATTTGGGGACCATCTGGAACCATGCTACAGCCACAATTCCCATTTTTTTTCTTTTTTTAAAAATGTTTATTTATTTTGAGAGATAGAGAATATGAAGAATATGAATGTGGGGGAGGGGCAAGGGAGAGGGAGAGGGAAGGAGGAAAGAGAATCCCAAGCAGGCTCCATGCTCAGTGCAGAGCCTGATGTGGGACTCGATCCCACGACCATAGGATCATGACATGAGCTGAAATCAAGAATTGGATGCTCAATTGACTGAGCCACCCAGGTTCTCCCCCACCCATTTTTCTCTTTTTAAAATGTATCTTTCCATTCCTTTCATTCACCCAAGTACCTCATTCTCAGCAACAGGAGTGCTTGTGCACGCACACACACATACCCTCTCCCTCATACTCATACACATCCTTTGACCATTCAGACTGCTCGGAACACTCCATTCAAGCATTTCATTCAGCCCCAAACTTAAACAGGGGCCTAAAATTATAAGTTCCCATTCATTAATTAAATAACTTGAATTTGACTTTTATCTCCATCACTTCAAAAATCATTTTTACAAAGGTCATAGAGGCCTTTTAATATAAGGGTTATTGGGATCTCACTTCCATTTGATCTCTTTGGTATAGTCATTCTCATTCATCTATTCAAAAACTCTTCTTTTGGTGTGTGTACCATTAATATCTTGTCCATCACCTCTCAGCATCCTCTTATGGGCTTTTCTTCTGCCATCGGACCCTAAATATTTGTGCTCTACCCTTAGCTACCTTTGCTGGCAATTTCATGGCTCCTAAAGGATTTCCATGCAGTTTCACAGCCTCAATGGCCCTGTGGGGGAAGCTCCCTTCCTTCTAGAGTTCTAATCTACTAGAACACTAGCTATTTATCTTCTAGTCTACTAGACATTTCCAAGTAGCTGCCCTTTGGACCTTTCCAACTCAGACCAAACCATATTCATTATTCCTCACATCTTACTCTGTATTTTCTTCTGTTTTTTTTACATGCCTTCTTTTCTGGATGGCAATACTATTTGCCTAATCTCCTAAACTAGTAATCTCAAAGTCAGTTCAACTGCTTGCCACTTACCCCTCACGTTCAATCTCTTATCAAGCACTGTCTGCTCTGCATGCAAAAGAGCTCTTGATTCTCAGCTTTTCTCCCTACTCCAATCTCAAAACACTGGTGGATTCTCATCTATTCTTTGCTACTAAAGTAGCTTTTTCATCGGGCTTCCACTTCCAATCCATCTTCCACAATATTGATAGAATCATCTTAAATAAAGGAAGACTTATCGTAACATCTCACTGCTTAAATCTCTGCGACATCCCCATTCCCTGTTACAGTTGCATTTCTCAAACAAGGCTGTGTATGCACGAGGGGATGATGTTCCCTCTTCCTGGAGTCTCAATTTTATTTAATGATATGCAATTTAAGTGCAGAATGACCTCCATGGAAATGATAAAGAAGAACACACAGAAGGTGTATGCAGAAAATCTATGCATGGTGTACAACATCAACATATCTGCACCATCCTTCTCAATGTTTCAGTGGAAATATATATATATATATATTTTTTTTTTTTTTTTTGAGAGAAAGAGTGTGCATGTGAGTAGGAAGAGGGCAGAGGAGGAAATAAAATCTCAAGCAGCCTCCACATTCAGCACAGAGCTCAGTGGAAACATATGAGGAGCACTGGCCCAAAGGGAAAACCAGACTCCTGAGTAAGATAGTCAGGCCCCTTATTACCTGAACTAATGTGCCCTTCAAAATTACTTCATACCACTCTTCCCAATGAATCTAACAGATGACAGATTTATGTAGCTAGTTATGTTTTAGGACCTTCAAAAGAGGAGTCATTGATGATCATCTCCATCAACTGCACTTGACCTTCTTCTGCAGCATGGTGCAAAGGGGATGCGTTCACATCATATCTGCTTAACTTCTTTTGTTTCTTCATAAAGTTTTTCAATCTACATGTACTTCCTTCAGAAACCACCTGGAAGTATACAAAAAATTGTTACCTCCAACTAGTATATGTAAAATTTAATACAAATTAATTGTTAAACGGTTACTTTCATCCAAAATTATTTATCATGCCTAGGATAAACATTTTTTAAAGAACACAAAATGTGTACAGACATATAGAAGGTGCAAGGAAATACCAGAAACGTTTTGAAGTAATTGGAAGGCATAGGATCTACAAAATAATAAGTATAGTGAAAACACAGAGAAGTCTTGTCAGGTGAAAATGTACTTAAATTAAAGTATGGGGGATTGGGGTTAGAGATTTTCATGAATGCAGGGACTAAATTATGTAACTTTATTGGTCAGTACTCTAGAACAGCTATCCACTCACCCCCCCTCCACAGGATTAAGTAATTCCTCTTCTTTTGACTACTGGGATCCCACACCAGGCCAAGTGAGGTCAAGTTCACCTCCTGATTATTCTCTGCACACTTGGAAATGCCAGTATTTTTGTGCACTTAGTATGAGATATCAGGACACTGAGAGGTTACACAATCTGCCCAAAGGCATACTAAATGGCCAAGTCTTGAACTTGAACAGGAGATGAATGGAATATATATTTTGGCTGACTGGTGAATGCTGGAAGCATCAAGATACAGTAGGAATTAAGCAGAGGTAAAAACCATCATGGAATGAATGACCTGGGTGACAGAATAAGGTATCAGAAACCATAAGGACAGACTCTGTAGTGTAAGCTCCGTACACTTTTGGCACAGCTGATGTTGCCACTGGCCTAGAAGAGTGTAACTCCAAGCACTTCCACTGGTGTCAAGGGAGGTGCAGGAGCTTTTCTGAATACCTGTTTTTCTTTAAGACTCTTTTCTATCTCATGTTTTCTAAATTCTTTATTATGATTGGACTGAGGGGGATTTCTCATAATTCCTCCTTGTAAAATTTTGTGGTGATGGTGTTGACATTCCACTTTTGATGAATTCTCACAAAACATGAAAAATTCCCAAACAGAACTTTTTCTAGAAAATCTTATGTCCTAAACAGAATAAAGTAACTAAAAATTAATCCTCAAAGATAATTTTATTTGATATTGTTACTCTAGCAAACAAAATTTTATAAAAGCCTTCATGTGATAAACTTACTTCTATTATCCTACCTTGCATTATTTAAATTTTCATAAATATTTTAGATCAGAGTATATTCTATTTTTCTAAAAATTAATGTATCCTCTCTAAATATCTATATTCCCTATTCAACTATTGGAGAAATTTCTTAGTATTGGTTTTATACAGAAAATGAAGAATCTTCAAAATACTTATAGTCATTTATAAATTATACTTCAGTTGACTGACAAGAGATTTATTCAAAGTTGCTTCTAGAATTCCTGCTTATATCTGAAAGTGAGTATTTAGGTATTAATAAATATGAATGACATACATTTTTCTATCGCTAACATTTTATATTGTTTAGATATGATGGTATTATTGATTACACATCAGTTTACAGACACTGGAAACTGCGCCGAATTAGGTATTTTGATATTTGCTTGCCAAAGCCAAATCGCAGATTTTGGCCCAAAAGTAAGGCTGCAGCCAAGCGCCTGCATGTCCCTGAAGGGCGCACAAGTGTTCTGCTCCAGAAGCTCGCCTCTTCTAGCCCCACGCTGTGCTGTGTTCATGTGGGGCTGAGCAGGAGTTAAACCAGGCTGTCTACCCGAGGGAAGCGTGCCCTTCTCTCCCTCTCTCCTGGTTTCCAGTCCAATGACCTCCTGAATTCTCCCCCCTCCTCGAGGCCTTCAGGGGAACTACAAGATGCCATTCTCTGGCCTAGCCTTGCTCTCTGTCTCTCAGGGATGCACAGAGATAGGCCACAGGACATATGGGGACATTTCAGCACTGACAGTTGCTGGAATGTGTGCCATGGATTCCCAGGTTTTAATTTTTTCCTCCATTTTAAAAAAGTTTCTGATATGGTAAATATTGGTGCCTCTAAACCTGTAAATAAGCACTCTTTGGACTCTTCCATTTTTTTTTAAGTTTAATGGGATTCTAAGACCAAAAAACAAGTTTGAGAAACACTCTAGCTCTTTCCTCACACTACCTGTACTGAATGTGTACCACACATTTGGATACTTATTCTCTGTGATACTTTCTACATGTAAATAAATGTGCCAGAAGGAGACAGTGGAGGAAGGAGAGGAATAGGGAGGACCCAGAGCTCTAACGGAGCAGCAGGAGGGGCCATATGGACCAGTATACAAAGAACTTCCCCCGACTACCTTTTTAAAAAGCAACATGAAAAATGAATGGACCTCATTCCAGTGCTATGGTAATATATGGTCTAAAATTATTTCTCAATGGCCCTTCCAGCTTTGAAAATACACGGCCAAATAAGACATTTGTCTGCTTTTTCTCTGAAGATATGTCTTAGCAAATATTTCATCACATGAACCAAAAGCAAAAGGTTTTACAAGACAGTAGTCCTAGAAACCACTGTAAAATAACTACTTTTGGAAAATGCAAAACCTTTTTCAAACAGATGATCCATGTACTTGCTTTAATTCTGTCTTTGTTACTAGTCACATGTGACACACATGAAATAAAATGAAATGTTAAGGTACTATTTTATTTTTTTATTTTACTTTTTGTTTTCTTTTGAAAGAGGGCAAGGGAGGGGTGCAGAAGGAGAGAGAGAGAGACCATCTGAAGCAGGGCCCATGCTCAGTGGAGCCCAATGTGGGGCTCCACCCCCAACCCAGGGATCATGACCTGAGCTGAAATCAAGAATTGGATCCTCAACCTACTGAGCTACCCAGGTGTGCTGTACTTAATGCATTTTAATATAGTTAATAAACATGGAGCAGACTAGCATTCATTGATCAAATGTCAGGTTGAAATAAAATCGCTTAAAATTTTGAATTTTGGGTTTTGTTCTGTTATCATGGAAGAGTACGGAAGAAATCATTTTTCTAGGACAGTCCTTCAAATACACTGTATCACTTTTCAACTACTAAATTCTATGTAAGCTACACATAATTTTAGTAATGAAGGGTAGGCCACTAGCACCCAACCATTTCCAAATTTACAGATTCAGTTATAAATTTAAAATGAGTTTCTTGGGGCACCTGGGTGGCTCAGTCGGTTAAGCGTCCGACTTCGGCTCAGGTCATGATCTCACAGTTTGTAGGTTCGAACCCCACATAGGGCTCTGTGCTGACAGCTAGCTCAGAGCCTGGAGCCTGTATTCAGATTCTGTGTCTCCCTTTCTCTCTGACCGTCCCCTGCTTACGCTGTCTCTGACTCTCAAAAGTAAATAAAAAACATTTTAAAAAATTAAAAATAAAAATAAAATGAGTTTCTTACAGAAATAAATGAATTCTCATTGTCTCACTGAAGCAAAGAAAGTGTTCGTCTAATTCCATTTGGAAGTATTTTAGCAATTGAATTTGATGTTCTCAGTGATACTGCAAGGATTACATTGCCTACCCACAGTGCCAGAAAGAACAATTTACAGGTCTGCTCAGCGATGTGCTGTCAACAGAAACCCAATTACACACTCTGAGAACAAGTACTAGGTTCAGACACGTCCCCGGGTCCCGCGGCAGCGGGCTAGGAAACCTTGAACGCAGGAGGCAGAGTTCAGCAGAGCCGCCCCCGCCCGGGCTCCGGACCCGTCCCGACCGCCCAGCGCCCCGGGTACCTTCAGCGAGCCCTTGGAGTCGTCCATGTCGTCCTCCACGCCCTGGTAGACTGCGCCCTGGGGCTCCTCCTTCCCCCCCGGGCTCAGCATCTTCCTCAAGCTGCGCCTCATCGACCGCACCCGGTCGCCACCTGCGCCAGCTGCGCCCCACGTGCGCGAGCACCTGCGCCGAGAGAGTCGTGGGGCTCGCGCAGCCCGCTCGTCCAGAGGCCGAGAGAACTTCTGCAGGGGCGGGGGGTGGCGGTCTGCGGCCCCGGGGCTGCTCGCTGCGCGGGAAGCAGGAGGGGCGCCGGGAAGAGGCAGGGACACAGACCCTTGTCTGCGCGCGGCGAAGGGGTGGCCGCGCCGAGACTGTCCCCCGCTCGCCGCGTCGGGCCCAGAGCACGCGCGACCTGCCTGTCCGGGCTGCGACGGCGGCAGCGCAACCCCCGAGTCGAGGTGTCAGGTCAGCGTGGATCCAGCGAATCTGGAATCTTTAATAATAAAAACAGTAAGAACCGCCCACCCGCAAGACCCGGGAGAGGGGCGGGGAGGGAAGGGAGGCGGGGGATGTTGGTAACTGAGAATCAGAGAATAACTGGGTACGTTTTGGGAAGATTTTTCATTTTTAGGATGTAGCCCCCGTCCCCTCAAGCTTCTGAGGTTGGGTTTCTCATTTCATTTTAGAAGGCTCTTTGACTTGGATATAAGGTTTTTAGAAAAGCCCTAAAGGACTAAATGCTGGTTTGAGCAAAGAGGTCAGGTCTCTTTGCATCTCAGGCCCCCTTTCCTGTGGATGGCAATGCTAATCTCCTGATTTGGTATTTCACAATGACTAAAAAAAGTTACTTGGTAGGTGAGAGGTAAATACTATTGACTCTTGTGGTCTTGTTTACCCTCGGCTTTGTTTGAAAGGCTTATCTTCAAGGGTCTGCACTGCATTTGTTAATCAACAGCTTGGGTGTAACTTGTGGAGTGTAGGCGTCTCCTCTCAATTGCAGAGGTCACTTCTCTTACGTTCATTCAGTGGAGCCTCTGTTGCAGCGATGTTTAGGCTACAAGGTTAGAAAGAAAAAGAAACAAAAACCAAACTTCTTTCCAAAACTGATTAGCTTTGCACAGGCCAACACTTAGCTTTGGCGGTCTCTCGTCTGGACTATCTGTGTGTTCCTTTAAGGCCCTTCATGGTCATATTCACCTGGCAGTCTCCAGCACCTGTCAAGACCCACGTGGCTCCAGGACCTGACCTACATTAAAATAAAGATTTGTGGACCATTTGACATAGCGGCTACACTGGGCTGAACTTAAGGGCAGGTAACCTGGCACCGTGATTATTTTGGAACTACGGAAGCCCTCGCCCGCAGTCTATCAAAAGATTTTTCAGGTTGTCATCAATTCCACCTGTGAAGTGGAATTCCTTAGATCATATTGAAGTTATCGCCATTTATCAGTTATCCATGTACCAGTTGATGGATGTTGGATTGTTTATAATTTTTGTCTATTATAAATAAGGCTGCTCTGAAATTGTTCACACACATCATTTTGTGGACATGTAATTTTCATTTCTCTTGGTTAAATACCAAGTAGTGAATTGCTGGGTCGTATGACAAAAGAGTGTGTTGAGCTTTGTAGGAAACTGCCAAACTGTTTTCCAAAGTGGCTATGCCATTTTACATGCCCGCCAGCACAGTGTGAGGTTTCTAGTATCTCCATATCCTCATCAAATCGTGGTGTCAGCAGTCTTTTGGATTATAATCATCCTAGTGTGTATATAGTGTTATTTTATTGTGGTTTTAATTGGCATGTCCCTAATGACTAGTGATATTGTCTATGTTTTTCATTCCTCATTAGCCATTCATCTGCCTTAACGGAATGCTTACTATTTTGCTTTTTAAAATTGAATTGTCTTCTTAATAGTGAGTTCTAATGGTTCTTTATTCTGGATACAAGTTTTGTATCAGACAAATGATCCACAAATATTTTCTGAGTCTGTGGCTTCTCTTTATTTTCTAAATGGTGTCTTTTGAAAAGCAAAACTTTTAATTTTGATAAGAGCCTAATTTATTAGTTTGTATGGATTGTGCTTTGAGTTTCATATAAAGCAATTTTTGCCTATGTTATGAGTAAAGAAGGTTTATGGTTTTATTCTCTTACATAGATTCATTTTGAGTTAAATTTTGCATATGGTGTGAGGTAGTGGTACAAGTTTATTTTTATTGCCTATGTATATTCAAATGTTACCATTTGTTAAAAACAACAACTATGATTTCTTCATAGAACTGCCTTGGAACCATCGTCAAAAATCAGTTGACCATAAATATATGGGTTTGTTTCTAGACTTCTATCTCACTGATTGGTAGGTCTGTTTATAAGTCAGTCAGTACCACACAGTCTTGATTTTGTAGCTTCCTGGTAATTTTGAAGTCAGATAGTATTATAAATGCTCCAAAATGGCTCATTTTCCTAATTGTTTTGGCTATTCTAAGTTCTTTGCACTGTAAATTTTAGAATTAGCCTGCCAATCCTTGCAAGGATTTTGATAGGATTTGCATTTGGTCTATAGATCAATTTGGTCAGAAGAGCCATCTTAATAATATCTAGTCTCCTAATCCATAAACATAATATTTTTCTCCATTATGTTTATGGATTAGGAGACTTGATATTGGTAAGATGGCTTTCAGCAGTGTTTTACAGTTTACCATGTACAGATCATACATTTTTTTGTTGTTGTTAAATGTATTCCTTAGAATTTTCTTACTTTTAAGATATTTTGAATGAAATTGCTTTCTTAATTTCACTTTCAGATTGTCTGTTGTTAAAGTATAAAAATGAAATTTGAATTTTTATATTGCCCTGTATCCTACAACCTTATTAATCTTACTCATTAACCTTAATAATTTTTTTCTGGATTTCCTAGAAATTTACACATCTAAGATCGTATCTTTTCTATAAGGACAGTTTGCTTCTTTCTTTCCCAACTGTATGCCTTTAACTTCTTTTTCTCCACTGTAATGCACTGGCTAGAAACTCTAGAATATTGTTGAATAGAAGTCCAGAGAGTGGAAATCTTGTCTTTTTCCCAGTCTTAAGGGAAATGCATTTTCCTTCACCATTGAGTATAATATTAATATTAGAGTTTTCATGGTTACCTATTAGATTGAGGAACATATCTTCCATGATTACTTTGTTTAGAGTTTTTATTTATGAGGGGGGTGTTAAATTTTGGCTGATGCTTTCTCTACAACTATTAAGGTAATTGCGTGCTTCTTCTCATTTATTCTATTATTTTACAATAAATGATTTTCTAATGTTAAGTCAGCCTGTTATATGTTACTGAATTCAGTTTGTTAATATTTTGTTAAAGATTTTGGTGTTTATATCCATGAAGAGTATTGCTCTGTAGTTTTTCTTTTGTGTAATGTCTCTGTATGCCTTTGGTATCAGTGTAATAGTGGTCTCACTGATAGGGTTGAGAAATGTTCCCCTCTATTTTCTGAAGTAGTATATATAGTATTGGTATTAATTCTTTCTAAAATGTCTGATAAAAGTCACTGGTGCAGCCTGGTGAATTGGGTTGTCTGGACTTTTTGTTTTCTTTCTGGGAATATATTTAATTACCAATTCACCTTTCTTATCTTTTATAGATCTTTCTGAATTTATATTTTCCTTGTGTAAATTTAGGTAATTTGTGTCTTTCAAGAAATTTATTTATCTGAGCTATTTACTGACACAGAGTTATTCATAAAATTTCTTTACAATCCTTTTTTTTTTTTAATATTTTTATTTATTTCTAGGAGAGAGAGAGAGAGAGAGAGAGACGGCTGAGCAAGGGAGGGTCAGAGAGAGAGGGAGACACAGACTGAAACAGGCTCCGGGCTCCGAGCTGGCAGTCAGCACAGAGCCCGACACGGGGCTCGAACCCACGAACCGCGAGATCATGGCCTAAGCAAAAGTCGGACGCTTAACCGACTAAGCCACCCAGGCGCCCCTCTTTACAATCCTTTTAATTCTTGTAGGGTCTGTAATAGTGTCTCTTCTTTCATTCCTGATTTTGGGAATTTGTGTCATCTCTCTTTTCTACCTAATAGTTTATCAAGTTTATTGATATTTTCAAAGAACCAATTTTTAATTTTATTGGGTTTTCTCCATTGTTTTTCTACTTACGTTTTTATTGTTTGCAGTGTTCTCTCTCTCTCTCTCTGATCTTTCTTTCTTTCTAGTTACTTTAGGTTTGATCTGCTCCTCTTTCTCTACTTTCCTGGTGTGTAACCTAAGGTTATTGATTTTAGATTTTTCTTCCTCCTAACATAAGCATTTAAAGTTACATAATACCTTCTAAACATTGTGTTAGTGGTACCCCATGAACTTTGATTTGTTGTGTTTTCATTTGTGGTTTCTTCTTTTACTACAAGTTATTTTTTGCAAGTATAATATTTAATTTCCAAGTATGTGGGGTTTCCCCAAATTTCTTCCAGTTGTTGAATTCTAGTCCAATCTAGTTGTGGTCAGGGAACACACTTTTTATGATTTTGATCTGTCTACATTCAAATATAGACTTGTTAAAATATGTTTTATGGCTGCCATAAAGTAGTAGTCTATCCTGGAGATTGTTACTTAAAAGAATGCGTATTCTGCTCTAGTTTGGTCAAGATTCTGAATATGTTATTAGGTCCAGTTAGTTAATAGTGTTGTTCAAGTGTTCTATATTCTTAGTGGTTTTATATCCTTCTATCAGTTACTGAGAGAGGAGTATTACAGGTATCAGTTATAACTGTTAAATTGTCTATCCTCCTAATTCTGTTCAGGATGTCTGTTCAGGATTGGGGGAGGGAGTCTCAGTTCTTATTTGCATGCATATTTATAATTGTCACCTTTATATTTTTCCTTTATCGTTATGAGATTTGTCTTTAGTAGTATTTCTTGTTTAAAGTCTATTTTGTCTGAGATCGTTATTCCAGATATCTTCTATTTACTGCTTCCACGGTAAATCTTTTTCCATTCATTTACTTTTAATCTGTTTGTGGCTTAAAAGTGTGTCTCCTGTATACAACATAGAGTTAGATGCTGTTCTTTTATCCATCTTGATAGTTTCTTCATTTTAATTAGTGTTTAGTCATTGACATTTAATGTAA